GGGTAAGCATTCTCGATTTACAATGTATTTCACACCTTTGAATATTTCCGGTTTTCGGAGGTAAAATTGCATTGATTTGACTCTAATTTTACGAAAATATCGTCCGGAATTCAGAATTTAGAAGTTTCGGAATTCAGAAGTATTATATTAATAAAAAATAGAAGGGGAAAAATCGGGACCGAAAAAATTGTTCGGTTTTTAGAAGTTTCCGGATTTCAGAAGTTCCGGAATTCGGAAGTTACACTGTATATAGTTCGACATACATGGACTTGAAATAAAAATGTGTTCTGACATACATGAGTTTAAAATAAAATATGCGTACTTACACCATCGAATCATATTTATGTTTGCAAAAAAAAACATAACAAAAAAAAAAAAAAAAAAAAAAAAAAAACGCAACATGATGTATTTGTACACATATCTTTGAAATTGTTTATTATGATTATTACATCCATTTAGAGTAGTAATAATGAATTAATTATACTAGTACCTTTTATTTCCAAATCATACTGATTGAAATGTGGCAACTTTATCGTTGGTATAAACAATGAAATATAATGTCACAGCACGTGAATGAAAAGGAAGTTTTTCAATACAGTCTAGTTTTAACTCAATTAATATTTAAATGTTGAAAACATAGGACTTGTTAAGAAAATAATTAATGCGCTGCTTCATGACAAAACCAACATAATAGGTTTGCGACCAGCATGGATCCAGACCAGCCTGCGCATCCGCGCAGTCTGATCAGGATCCATGCTGTTCGCTATCGGTTTCTCTACTTGTTATAGAGTTTGTAAGCGAACAGCATGGATCCTGATCAGACTGCGCTGATGCGCAGGCTGGTCTGGATCCATGCTGGTCGCAAACCCATTATGTTGGTTTTGTCATGACGCGGCTCAATTAATGCGCTGACACTTATCCAAAACTAACATAATTTCACAATACGTTGACACATATCCATGAGTTACAGAACACTTATTTTAAAAACTATTTTTTTTTATATTAAAAAAGAAGGATGTTAACAGAATAAGCAACATGTGCCAGATTCATTAATGCTGTTTCCTCAACGCCGATCAGATCAACTCGATCAAGCACGATCAAGCGATCGGGTACCAGTCTAGCTCGGTCTGCATGCGTGATCGGGGTGGTCGGAGCGGTCTACCTTGGTCGGTATGGCTCGGGCTTCCTACCCGATTTTTTTTGACAAAAATCTGGCAACGATCGAGCAGAGGTACAGTTAGTCTAGTCGAGAAGAAGTCGGGATGTTGGTCGGGTTGTCGTCGAGAAGAAGTCGTAAAACATCGTGTAGGGTCGACTTGAGGTCGTGTAGGAGTCGTGAATGTGCATTTAATCTAGCTTGGTCGGGCTTCATCGGGGAATTAATGTGAACGGGACGATCGAGTTGATCTGATCGGCGGTGAGAACATAGCATTACAATGCAAATAAAATCGACAGTTTCATCAACTGTTAGACATCGGATAGATGTTTTTTTTTTAGAAATTATTTAAAATAATTAAAAAAGTATAACATTGAGCACAATAATTGGTTGGTCCATCATGCAGTCACTGTCATGAATTCTGATGGTATATGAGCAGATAATTTAAAGGGACTCCACCTAGGTTTTTTACATGATGGTACTGAAAATATTTTTTTCCAGATAAATGAACTAATTGATGTAGGGATAGACCACTAATCTTTGTGCAAAATTTCAGATCATTCGCGCACTTCGTTTTTCCAAAATAATTATTCAAATTGTAAAAACGGACCAAAAATGAAAAGCGTTTTAACGCTTTTCACTTAAATCGGGCTAAGAAAAGCATAAAAATACGATTTTCAATTTATTTCAAAGTATATTTCTTAATTATTTTTGCATATTTCTGTTTAAAGTACCCCAGCTCATTTATGTAAGAAATTCAAAGGTTATGTTTTTAGGCTTTAAACCTCAGTGGAGTCCCTTTAATATTCCCACGGAAGGATGAGTGTTTCTCGTTCCGAAATGGCCGGTACATGAGAGGTACATGGTATGCAAGCAAATGGTGTCTCATAAGTCAAAATTGCTGGCCCTTTCAGTAGGGATAACACTATAATAAACAAGACCTTTACTTTTTATTTATATTATGTGTAAGAACTATATAACTTATTTTTCATTTTGACTCACGGTCGAAAGCCGTAAGCAAAAGGAAATGCCGGTATATTCGCGAATAATGTTCTGCCAATGTTGTAATTGCGTTGACAATTATCATGTTCGCGTTGACATTATCAGGATACATAATGTGGATTTAATATATACTATCAGTGAGCTCACAAACAAATATCACGAAAGTTAAACTTAGTATGTATATATAGTCTGTGTTTAATGAGGGTCCACCCGCCCGTTCTGGTACTTAATGCAGCTTGCCATGTCGAGTACGGTCCACGGACACGGAGATATGGATTTTTAGCCAAAAGTAGAACACTGTATGGCGGTCAATGAGAACCTAAATGTACAGTAACCTAAGACAATATGAAAAGGAGGTAGCTCTGAAAAGGACTGTTGCTGCCAAGCAAAGGGCTTGCCTTGCAAGCCTTCACTTCGTGCTAGGATCCCACGAAACTAGCACCCTTCTTCGTCGTCTCTTCTGATACTCTGTAGGGTCACTGTTCGGCTTTACTCGGGCATCGGCAGCTGGTGCGCATAATACAAGTTTCTGTTTTTTTACGCCGCTCCTAGTCCTTCAAATCTCTCCACCCTCCACCGAGGGAAAGAAAGTAGAGTTAACTTTGCTTTGCTTTTTTGTATTTTATATCTGACCAACAGTGACAAGAGAGACAACTGTTAAGACTATACGTGGTTACACAATCATGTCCCTTACACTTAAAGAAAACTAAATATCTCTTAAGTTGTCAAACTTCCATAGTTAGCAAACTTAACCAACTCTTCATATTGTCAATTGATTTTTACTAAAGTTTTATCTAAATCAGGTATGATTATAAAAAGAATCAAAGGTTGTCAATATTTAATAACGCGTGAAATTTATGAGTGAATTAATCAATTATAACTTTCATTGTTTACAATCAAGGTTTGTTATAATAGGCAGCAAGACCAGAAAGAACATGTAATTCTATACATCTATATTGATTTACCATATACATTATACATAAGGTTTTATAGTAAGTAAAATATATTCTTTTGAAATCAAGTTTTAAGCGGAAAGAACAAAGAGCTAAACGAAAAGTCAAAGGAGTGCAGGCAAAATTAAATTCACTAGGCTTTACGGTGAATTTATCTATGAAATTCGAATGCAAGCATATTTATTTGGTTCATTGTGTACAAAGTTACATACTGTAATCGATCGGATATTTAGCTCTTGTTGAAGTGCAATTTGCATTTATGTATAGCAGAAAACGGTGCAAGGCCTATAATCGTGTATTTGTTTAAGTCTTAGACAGTGTTTGTTTGATTTTCATTTAAGTGTTTGCTTAAAAATTACTCGTATACTTTAATTAAGATATCTTCAAATAATTTCATAATGCATTTGCATAAGCAATTATATTGTGTTACAAAAATTGGTAATATTTTGTAACATTACGGGTATAAGTTTGAGAACTTCAGGTACAGGATGATTTTTGTATACAATAGAAAGAAAATTCAAATATTTATCTACCGAAATAAACTGTCTTTAAAACGACACGGATTCATTATTAGCCATTTTCCCCGACTGAATTTGTTATAATGTTCAAAAAGAAACTGTAAAACATGTGAAAACTTCTATTAGCTTTTAGCTTTCTTATTTACGAAGAACACCCAATATGCACTCTAACCTATACATAATTTAAGAATGTCTATGCTTTAAATGATCCTACTTGAGTTATCTTTTCTTATAGATATTAATAAAACAAGTAAAGTGTTATATATTGCGGCTCTTTATAAAGGTTTAAAACAATTCTTATACAGAGCTAATGTAAGTCTATGCATGTAAGTGGAGAGACAGGAAACATACTTTATTGATTTCATTACAAAGAAAGTACCCCAAAACGGTGAAATCGCCGTTGCTTATAGAAACGTGTGTAGTATAAAGAAAAAAGTAATGGTTATCAGGCAATCATGTCGTTATATTGATTTCAAGTGATATTAAACACAAGCGGCATCATATGACAAAATGATTGCCAACGAACATTTAGAAGAAGCTGTTGAAACTGTTTCTGTTTATATGGGCTTTTCCAGCAAGAATACGGGCTTTTCCAGCAATTATATGGGCTTTTCCCAGCAAGAATATAGGCTTTTCCCAGCAAGTATATATATGGGCTTTTCTCAGCAAATATATGGGCTTTTCCCGGCAAGTAGATGGGTTTTCCCAGCAAGTATATGGGCTTTTCCAGTAAGTATATGGGCATTTCGGGCTTCTCCAGCAACTATATGGGCTTTTCCAGCAAGTATATGGGCATTTCTCTTTCCCAGTAAGTTATGATCAGGTTTACATACAATAGAGCACAATTCGCTTTTTATACGCATCTATATAATTCCATCAATGGAGTTATTTAGCCCCTCAACAGCAGTGCAGGAAATAACAGAACGTCAGTTTTAAGAACTGAAGTAATATAGTGGGACTGATATTAAAATTAGTTCAGGACAAAACATGTGTTAAATTACTGATGAAAAATAAATAGAAGAATGTTATTGAAAAGCGTTTGGAGGCCGCATACTGCCCCCCTGCACCGCTTTTAGGGCAATAAGACATGTATCCAAGATTTAAATGCCATTTAACATCACATATATATGCAAATAATACGTAGACCGTATAAATTAACAATTGTATATGTAGAAGTGAACTATGATTTGCTATGGAAAATAAAACTTTTTTCAAATAAAACCTAACAAAGAATATTTCATGAAAAATTCATGGTATGGTATGCAATTTGAATCATCATAATAGTTAACCACTATTGACTGACAGTTTGCGGAAGTGTGGTCGTGCTATTTCTGGCTGACATCTCCATATTGGGTAATATACAGGAAAACATTATCGATTTATCACCATTTATATCATTTTTATTTCTCTATTTAAGTATTGTAATACAGATGGTTTTCAAGAATGGAAATCTAAGTAACAGACAGTTGTTAAAACTATCCCTTAACCGTTGTTTATTTTTTCATTGTATAATAGTTAGAACTTACTCCACCGTCTTTGTAATTATTTAACAGGCATAATTATATTTTTTCTAGATTAAAAAAAAAGTAAATACATAAATAACAAAAATTATTGTCCCCGAAATCACTCTTTATCACTAACAATTCATCGTCTGCTGCAATGAATGTCATATGGCTTTCATATATATCACATACACATTAAATACACATTCAAATATTAAAATATTAATCACTAAAACCTATGTTATTCATAGTATACACCAAAACACACGGCTAGAGCAAACAGTGATTTGTTTGAGAACGTGGTAGATGCGTAGTTGTCCGTGTCGTCCAGCCAGAGAAATCTACTTCCGGCCGTGATATCTTGCTCCCTGTTCTCACCGATGATCACGTGTACCACCAGCTTGTAACGTGTCCATTTGAACTCTTTGACCTTACTCTTTATGGTATCCGCTAACATCTTACTCATACGCTGACCAAGTGTCTTTTCATATTCAACATCAGTTAAATATTCAGTCAGTGTCTCTTTCATTACTCTTTCTACTTTTCCAGGTCTGAATTTCTTCTCGTCGTCTGGCGTAAGTTTATACGTGTTTTCTATTTGTCTAGGACATGCCATCTCAGTGTCTGATACGTTAGATTTAGCTTCCCATGTCCGTTCTCTTGTAGAACCTTCCCGAATTGGGGTCTTAGTCATCACTCTAAGAATTCCTGGCTTCCTTACCCTACTCATGTTGTCTTTTTCTGAGAGAAATATATTTACACACACAATAAATCCAGTGGTCAACACAATTTCACGTTTTGTTTTTGAAAAAGTTTTGAAATCAATCTAATTCCAAACACATAAAAGTCATCCGAATTTTGTAAAGCCCGCATCCGTTAAAATCCGGTTACTTGTTCACTGATTCCTTTAGATTGATGAATGTCGTTTGGCTTTATCACCACGACCCGACTCTAGTGCTGTACAAAATTCATTTCCTGGAATCAAAATTGAAAAAAAATCCAATCATTTATGAATGAAATAAAATTATGAATATTAGAGTGTCTGGTGTGTAACTGGTTTTTAATCTACTGACCCACTGACCAAAGCCATGTCACTATAACCACTCACGAAACGCTCCAGTATTTTTTATTATTATCCAATAATCCATTTTTACTATTGCACTGTTTAACAAACTCTTATTTCCAGTGCCTTATAACTATTAATCATATAATCTGGGCTTTACTTCTTATCTCGTTATTCAACATGACGACCTTTTCATCGTTTCCATTTCTGCGAGAAGATCGATTAGAACGTAGGTGAAAAATCAATCAGTTATTGTTCAGATGTTGGATTATCCAATTAATATATAGCACCAGGCTTTTGATGCTATAAATATCAAGGATTGATATTGTTCGCCTTTTTTATTTCTATAAAAGCTCTGTTATTTTAGTTTGACACTCGTGATTATGTCCTTGTTTGTGATATAAAAAAGATGCAAAAGTTAGATAACAAGGCTTTTTAAAGTGATTTAATTGCCCCCACGCGTATGTTGTGAATACTATACATTAGAAAACATTTTAATTAAGCTGAAAAAACGTGGGTGTGTGTGAAAGGTACATAACAGAAAAAAGACCGAGCGATATTCTGATTGACAAGTTAACAATTCATCATCATCATCATCATCGTCGTCGTCGTGGTGGTCGTCGTCGTCGTCATCGTCGTCGTCATCATCATCATTATCATCATCATCATCATCATCAAGGTCCCTCTCTATAACCACTTGCATATTATTCTGGAATTTATAGATGAGTGCAATTGACTGGCCGCTGACCGTACACAGCAAGTGTATGTCAGACTGTCGGCAAGACATTTAAAATCCCAAAGTATTACGACATTGCAGGAAACAAAATCATACACTTTAAAGTAATCTCCTTATAGAGGTGTTCTTAAACTTACAGATTAAAAGGTCATTAAACGCCAATAATCCAAAACTCCGGATGATTATTGTGTTACGAACTTGCCCTGTTATAATTCTTGGTCCGACACTGTAAGTTTAAGGACTTTTAATTAAGTTTAAGTAATTTTAATTAGGCGTTTAACTGCGGAAGTATTTAATTCGATAGCACAGAAAACAAAGTATATAAATTATGTAAAATATATAAATGAAAATATGTTAAAATTGAGTCTTTTCATGAGAACAGACGAACAGTTTTAAATGTCACACGCCCCCATGCACCGACTTCAGCAATATCTAATTTCCAACACGAAATGCATAACGTCTGGCCGGCTTCATGGAAGTTTGGACTGGTTTAGCTTTATACTGGTGTCAAATATTGGCCTTGAGGTTATTAATCTTTTTCTTCAGTTCAGTCTCAAATCTCAGGATTTTCATTGGTCTGTGTACATTCTGTGGCAGTTTCTGACCAATCAGATACCCGAGATCTGAGTTTGAGCTAGATAATTTCTTTATAACCTTTGAAACAGGGTATCCTTATTCATGGTATTCAAAAAGTAAAGTTCAACTATGCACGGGTACACGGTAGTTTGTATTCTCTAGTATCACAAGTATTTGTAATTGCTCTAACTCGATCAAATATAAATAGATAACACATTGAGAAGTGTTTAAACAGTTACATATTGTATCAATGTTATTAAAGCTTATAGATAAACCGTATATCTAATGGGGTTCATCTGCTTGACAAATTCAACTCACAGTGTTAAAGGTTCATGTGAAATTTCCGACCTTTACCTTTCAGACCTGTAGATGCGCCCTAGACAATATACTTAAATTAAGAAAAGGTAGGGTCATATACAGAAAAAAAACTTCACCATATGAAGAAGAAGAAGAATCCCTTGCTCTTTCAATGTTAGGGAATTTATAATTGTTAAATATTTATTTATACATGAAAAAGTGGCAGAGAAAACACAGCCCATTTTTCAAATAGAGAAAAACAGAATCCCTAAAAAAAGCCCAACACGGCAATATTGTAAATGTTCCTGGCTCGGTTTGATTGAGCCTGTTCATATGAGGACGGTACTGGAAAGTGCAAGTTACCGTCCACGCCCCCCCAGCACCGGCTTAAGCAGAAATCAAAATTTAACCCTCATAAACGGACGAGCCCATCTTCCAATTTTGACAAACAGAGCCGACCATAATTAGACCACATAGATCTTGGTCTGCACTAGCCTCATGAGTATTCACTAGCAGGCAAAAGATAAATGAACATCTTAACACAATATTTCAGTACACATTCTTCCATAGACATGCTTTTATAGATATAATATACTTTCATTTTCCACTATTTGCAAATAACTACAGCTGCTTGAAGATGTCAATATTTCATGCCCACATTCTCCAGGTGGGGCTTTGATTATTTGAAATTCATAATAAATCATTAAACGCACTTAAAATGAGTTACGATAAAACAAGGTGTTTGAATAAACAATTTACAACTGCGTTCACGCAATTAGTTTGCAGTTTTTAGGTAGAGAACATATTGCATGTTATTGTACAATATTTCATAAATGATTAATTCATGACATGTATTAAACCATGCAAACTATCACACGCGACGTTTTTGTTATTGAATTTAGCCATTAGAAATTATAAAGAAACATAAGAAGAATTAATATTAAAACATCGCTATTATGACACGCATTTTACATCGCTTTTATGACACACATTTTTACATCGCTATTATGACACACATTTTTACATCGCTATTATGACACACATTTTTACATCGCAATTATGACACACATTTTTACATCGCTATTATGACACACATTTTTACATCGCTATTATGACACACATTTTTACATCGCAATTATGACACACATTTTTACATCGCTATTATGACACACATTTTTACATCGCTATTATGACACGCATTTTACATCGCTTTTATGACACACTTTTTAAAAAAAATAAACACATGCGGAATGTATTTTTATATTTGTGATCAAAATATTGCGATGAGCTGAAATGGAAAACATAAGAGCTATATGTTTCATTTTTAGACTAAATAAAAGACATAATATTTTTATCATTAATTGCTCTGTTCTGTTTTGATATCAACATCAATGTTTTTACCTATTTTAAAATATATGAATTACTTTTTTAAACTAATTTCATATTAAACTTGTAATACATGGAGTTTTGTCTCTTTGTTTTGTGTCGAATCTATAAATTATAGTAATATTAATTAAAAGAAAATATAGAGATTAAATAATATTTCAAATTATTATAAAACGTTGTTTTGTTATATTTACTAAAGATGGTTAACCAAAAGAAGTATTATTTAGTGTTGTGAAATGAATGAATTCCAATTAATGATATGAGCGAAGTTAATTCTCTTTAAAAAGAACAACAATACTTAATTTGTCTAAAATTCTTATCTTAAAACAAGCACACAACTTGCAGATATTTAAAAGAGGCAGCTGAGTCGGACTTGTTTTTAAATTGAAGGTTAAAACTACTTACAAGAAATAATCCTACTCTCTTCTTTTGTAAAACTTAATGAAATGACAATATTCGAGTTAATGCAAATTTAAACTTAACATTTGAAATCAGAACTTTTACTCTTTATGTTCGAACAAACCGTATATAATCTCATTTGTTTTGTTTTCTTCCATGAGATATGGTGTAACTAAGAGACAATACGTTCAAACTTGTGTGCAATCAATGCAAATACTAAATCCTTTCATATCAAACAAAGCGGCGAAAAAACAGAGATTATTTCGTCCTCAATTGACAATACATAAGTACACAATTGCTGATAAGCGGGCTTTGGTACAATGAATTAAAGCAGGGGAATCCTTTAACTCATAAATTTGAACTTTCATAGCATTAAGATTATTTTGTTAAAAGGACTGCATTTTGCTTAGTTTATATCTAAATTTTGATTAATTTTTTTTCTTTGGTTTAAACAATTTATTTTTTTATACCAGTACGTTGGTCTGCTCATCGCTCTATATCTATTTGCTTATCGCAAGGATAAAATTTATCGCAAGAATAAACAATCATTTAAACAATATTAGGACGATGTTCGTATCGTATACACGTGGTTATTTTATTACATATCTGCACAAAATTTGATTAAGATTATAGCCCGACTACTTGAACTTAAATTGAAAATAATTTTAACATATATTACGTTGATTCGACATTATTCATTATGAAATTTGTACGTGTGGATTTTAGAAGAAAAAGGGCCCTCTATACGTTATAAGCTTGGAATCATTGTGAAAACTGTATTTATGGTATTAGTACTGCTTAACAAGATAGTTTGAATTACTTGTTTGTAAAATTCTTCTTATTTACATGTATATGTGAATAAATACTTACTTGTATGTAAATAACAACTTAATTACATGTATGTAAACAACTACTTACTTCTATGTAAAGTATAACTTACTTATATGTAAGTATCTACTTAATTATATGTAATTAACTATTAACTTATGTGTAAATACCTACTTACTAATATGCTTTACCTACTTACTTATAGGTAATTTTATACTTACTTATATGTAATTAACTACACGTACTTAGTTATATGTAAAAACTACTTACTTATAAGTAAATTACTACTTATACCTACTTATATGTGACTACCTTCTAACGTAAATAAGTAGATAATAACTAAAAATTACAAGTTATCTTCTTTAAAATTTAGTTTGACTTTTTAGACTATTCTTTTGACATATCTCCTTTAAGAGTAAAAGTAAAAATGTCGAATACAATAACATTTAAAACAATTAAATTTTTAAGGTGAAATCCAATATTCCATACCGGTGTACACTCACTTTACTTCCATTGAACGATTACTATTTTTGCTTCACTTTTCAATATTACTATCCAATATTGTTTGCTGTTTTGCTCTTTCAATAAAGAAAATTGATGTATTTCAATTGGTCGAAGATTACAACAAATTTTATGCTATATTGTTCTAGCATAAAAGGCAGTAACCCTCACAAAAAGTAAAAAAAGTTCTTTTTTGTAATACAATTATTCAAAGTGTTTTTATGACACATAGTTATTTTAATACGCATTTGGATTGTTAGGGTGAGTAATAATTCGTTTGTTAAGTAAGTGTTTCAAAAAAATAGAATATACAAATATTGCATTTGTGTTTCAATGTTAATGTTGAAATATTTAGTCAGGTTTTAAAGCGGTAGTTATTGACTAAATTTTGTAAATAATTAAAATTATATATCCCCTTCACTAAGGTCATAAAACTTAAAACGTAATATTTGAAATTCTTACATAGAACGCCTGGCATACTTTAAACGGCGATGTTAAAATTGACAGGAAATACTCTCAAATAGAAATTAAAAAATAAATCTTTGTGCGCTTATTAGCTTGATGTTAGTAGATAGCGTTAAAAACGCTTTTCATTTTTGGTCATTTTTGCAAAAAAAAAAAAAAAAATGGGGAAAAATGGCGCAATCGATTAATCTGTCATTTTGCACACAAGTTATTGGTCCATACCGTTATCAGATGCTACACAAATCTTGAAAACAATGCTTCCACTCATGTTTTATAAAAGAAAACTTCAATGCATTCTAATAGCTCTATCGTGTTTATATGCTTAGAAAATTACTTTAGCATACTGTGCAATCATTACAATAGAATCTATTCGATATTTTATGTAAAATATATTTTCTTCACTATTTCTCGATGTTAAAAAAGTATGTATGCTTATCGTAAATTATTTTTTGTTCACTATCGGTTAAATTGACAACAAAATCATAACTCTTAACCTGTTAGAAGCGAAAGTTATCGGCCTTTGCCACCAGAATAGAGGCATACAGGCATAGACCATGCTCACTTTACTGTTGGTAGCTCATTTTTGTACGTTGTTACTAATTCTATTTTGATATTGGACTCCCCTAGACTTTAAAATCAAGGCTAGGCAAATGCATTTCACAAATTCAGAAGGTTAACGATTGAATTGATTAGCTTTTATGTGATATTTTCCTAAAACATAGATATATTCCATGTAAAAGCGCATCGGATTCTATAGCGAAGATCTAATGTTTTGCGATGATTACCTACGTACAACGCGTTTCATCTAAAAGTGTTCACGTCGTTCATATCTATCTGATAAACCTTACATATTTTATGTCAATCTGAAAACTCAAAATCGTTCCTGCCTTATTTGATGAAATATATTTACATGAATTTACTTCATTGTTTTTAATTCTGACCTTATTTGCTGATAAATACGTTGTCAATTCAGTTTTGCATACATGTTATGCATGCATCATATTTTATCGTATTTCAATAAACCGTCGAATGCTTTGTTTTAACTGTTTAGTTTTATCCTCAAAATTATTTAAAGAACTTCGATTTATTTTTTTCATTAGTCATCATTTTTTTACAAGACAAATTACATAAACTTTGAAGTTTACTTGACCGTATTTGTCTTATCAAAGGGATTCTAAATGGATCACAGTACGGATTGTCTGCAATCATTCATTAAGAAATGCAATTTATTTCTTTAATATCCTCTCCTCAAAGGTCTTTTGTAATTTAAGTACACCTTTATTAGACTGTGTCTTAAGCATAATGTCAATAGCAAACATTATCTTGATATTAGCTTAAGAAGTGCTTAGCTGCAAATGCATTATTGACAATTCGGTAATCACCCGTTATCAACCGACATTCATTGAAAAATCCAAATATGTTTAGGAAGAGATTTAACAGTGTTATTTTCTGCAATTTCAAACCGGTTCATCTGACCTATATAATTCAATGTCTGAGTCAACATCTAATAAGGTGAGAGGTAGTACCCACTCCAAAAATCCAAAAAGGGCTATATAAAACACTGTGCCTTGCCTACAGCTCTTAGAAAAAAGTATTTTGATTGGTTAAGATAGAGAGCGTTTTGTTTGATCTCTGTTTTATTGTCATAAAATTATCTTAAAGCTACCATATAGAGCATTCAGTTGATTACATGATTTTAAGTTGTTTTCATGCAAATGATACAATAACAACAACACAACGAAGTCAACAATAGCAATAGCAACAACGGCGTTGACGACGACAAAGAAGCAACATCGTCAAAACAAATAAATGAACAACAACAACAACAATACAATAACACAAGGAACACTTTTGCTTCAGTAGACAGCTATTTGTCTCAAATATGAAAACATCTGGAAAAAGTGATCCCTCGGAAGCATTAAAATCAGCAAAATTACATGAAAATTGCAGACTCAGTTTGATTGAGTCTGTACATGAGATATAATGAAAAACTGCAACATCTCTCACGCCCCATCTCCGTACTATCGGTTTCAGCGGTTCTCAATTTCTGAACATTTAAAAGTGCTGGAATCAATGACCCCGAAGTACCAGAAAAATATAACAACACTGAAGTGAAGAACGGGCCATAGGAGAATTTTATAAGAATTTGTGATCCGTTTCAAATCCTTTTCTTTGAATATACGTTTTGATTTGTGCAATTATTGAACATGCTTTTTGTATGTATTCAATATATAAATATGTTTAAACTAAAATGTTATGATAAAATACTATCTAATGAGAATTCAATTTCATCTAATGGATGAATGATGAGCATGTGTGTAAATAAATTAAATGATTGCTCATTCAATTTTAATAGTAACTGATGCACCCGGATTACATTTTATACCAGAAAATATTGTCCTGTCTCTATATACATTGAGCTAGTCTTTTTACTCAGCCTGATTACAATTCTTTTCCATATTATATTTGTCAGTGGTTTAACATTGTACATAGATCTCTTTTTCCGTAAATCACAATTAACTATTTACTTTCTTAACTTTAGGTACAGAAACAGTTTGGTCTTGTATCCGACTGGATGTTCTTTTATCCATGACATATTTGTCCATTTCATAATCAGACGCTTTCCTTCCTTTGACACCTCTTTGATTTAGTTCTATTTCTGTTGATGTTCTACGATTCTCTTTAGCATTACCTTGAGAAGTTGTAGATACCCTAGATGGTATTTGACCCCTTGATACGCTGTTATTCCCGCGTGTGGTATTCATTATCAGAGATGGGTCAATTTCAATTTCCTACAACGATAAAAATTATAACGGTGGAAAATTAACATAAATTTTGAATTACAGCTTAGAAGTTTGTTAAAAATAAAACTGTCTAAATCTGGAGAAGTTAAATTACGTAATTCATTCTTCAAACATTTTAGTCATCTGTATTTGTATGACAACAGTGTATAAAGAAGTTCATTCCGACGAAGCAACAACATATAAAACTAAGAAAATAGAAAAACCAAAAGAAGAAAAAAAACTTTCTGAATATAACTATTACTTAAGATTTCATGATCGGTTTATTAGAAATATTTTAAGTATGTGCAGTACCAAAAAAAGCTTAAATCATTACCGTCACATTATTACGTCTCTTGACAGCGATTACACACACAATAACGAGTATTAGTAAAAGACCACCGCCTCCCCCTGCTAGGGCATATACCACGGTCTCTAAAAAAGTATGGAAAATATGATTATTGTATGCGACTGATGCTTCAAAACAATTTGAACATAAACATGTAATTATTCATTTCATCTTCATCACTAAAATTATGTCATATGAAAACATCAATATTTTTAGATATTTACAAAAGTATTTTTAAATTGCTTTACTTGATTAAATTTAACTCTAATAATAACCATTTTTAAACTAAGCACTGTAAAATATAATTCTTGATTAAAATCTAAAAGGGTTGAGTGCAGTTCTTGCGTTTAAATTTTGCACAATATTGAAGAAATTGAAAAGGCATTTTTGAAAACTTCAAAATCAAAAGTGTAACATAATGACGTGTAGGTAAGCTTAGAACCTACAGAATTGATAAACTATCAACCTGCTGAAATCGGAAGTGATTAGCCTTTGTCACCTGTATAGAACACATCCGTGCAGTTTGACAAAGATTCTATTTGTAGCTCAATTTTGTATTTTCAATCACTTAAACTTTGAATGGACAGTTCAAAATTAAAAGCAGATTCCATAACAAAACTCATCATGAGTTCAGTACAAAAATCTGATCTGAAAATAACTTGAAGAACAATAACTATACTTGGCATTGGTCCAGTTTGATGTTCTGCGTTGTTCATCTTTTGTGTTGATGTGGCCGACGAACTTTGATGAACACCATTTGATGGTTTTGATGTATTTGTAGCAATTGACGGTGAAGGGGTAAGGGAATTAGTAGTAGAAGAAGAACTACTCGTGGTTGTTGACTTTGTGGTAGTAGTAGTAGTTGTTGTTGTTGTAGTTGTTGGATCCCAAATTGGATAGCAGTTAACTGTTACATTTGACAAATGACTGGCGGCTTCAGATTGTAGAAACAAACAAAAATATCAATAAGAAATAACAATAAAAATTCTTTGTTTGACAAGAAATAAAATCACTCGTATAGTGAGTATTTAAGAAACATTATACATCTATCTCTAGCCTCGTCTCTCGAGTTCTCATTATTGTTTGTAAGTTACTATTTTGTACTTAATAATTACATGTATTCTTTTTTAATAATTTTTCTATCATTTCAAAACCAACTATTTGATATTAAAATCATCGGAAAATATATCTGAAAGAGTAACCCTTTTAACCATAAAAATGTAATATATAATTGATCATGGACAGATATTGAGTCTTATGATCATTTGTCTCTCACCGCTGATTTAGACCAAATTGTTTTTTTTTTAAACAATGAGCTTTCATATTCAAAACAATGTATATAGTCTTTATCTATGATAATAAATTATTATGTAACTATAAACCATGAAATGCATTTTACGCTTTTTCAAAACCTTACGTGCTCAAGAAACAAAACTATTTGATTCTTAACATAATCCGATTTACAGATATGTACCTTGAAAGCCAACCCAGAAGAGTCCAATTGAATTTATTTGTCCTTTCCACACCATTGTTAGATTCTGATTAGAAGAATTGTATTGTCCACTTCGGAAAGAGTCGCAGACGGAAACTAACACAGAACCTTGTTCTTGTTCAATTGTCAAGTTTTGTTGATTACCAGTACAGTTTAATCGGTAGTCGTAAATTGTAATTGAAATAACCGGTGCCGGGCTGGTAATTTTACATTCACAGTGATGCGTGCCATCAACGGAACGGATAGCCGGATAGCCATTGTTGTAGACAGATAGTTTCTGACCGGTTTTTGTAGACGCACTACATATGTCTGATATACTTGATGCTTCAATAATATGAAACAGTCTTAAAATGTTTAACGTTTTCAATACATATTTATATGCGTATTAAAAAGTCGCCAAGCGATTTCGGACATTAACTTATTTTGTACAGAGTTCATAAGTCAATCAAAAGTATATTACAATGGTATTAACATGATTAGATTTAATGAATTGTTATGTTGCATTTTTGCCTCCGATATTTTAATTTTTTGAAAAAATATCGATGTAATTGCTTTACGTATGTTAAGATTATTTAGATATTTTCATACATTTGACTGTGTTTGTTTATATGGGGTTTATATTTTAGCGACTCGACAAAACAATTAAACGCAAGGAAATATGAAGTCATACATTTTAGACATTCGAAATTAAATGCCATATAATCCGGTATATCGCCAAAACCTTTGCAATCATGAGACTTGTCAACCGCCGGAAATTGTACAGCATTCATGGCAACTTGTGCTGACCCCTTTTCAAGCATTAAACCCGTTTGGATATCGGACATTCTCTCTTCACAACCTTCCGTTTCTGCAAATTATTTGATTCAAAATACGATATTTACATATCAATCAATATGTTAAGTCTGTTTCTTAAATATAAATCAAAATATTCTGGAAGAGGTATTTGAATGCATAACATTTCTTACACCCGCTAGCACCGACTTCAGCAGCACATTTTAATCTCGATGATCATAACAAACCAGAGAAATTATATAACAAGATATTCAACATTTCATTTTGGCGTTTGTGCAATGTAATATATATGCCATGACTTTATATATCAGTTTTAAGATAAATTGACATAGTTGTATCTTCAAAATCTATAATACAGTATGACCCACTTACAGGATTGCATAATCGATTAAATATCTGATGTAAAATGAAAACATTGAAACTCGTAAATAACAAACGTAGCCCGATTATAGTTAGAAGATAAAAACAATTTAAAATATTTCAAAAATGTATAAAAAGTGTTAATAATTGTCGCATTAATAATTCATTTACATTGGTTAAACACTGAAAAATAAATTTAGTCCAATCTGCAGTACTGAATAAGTTATAAATACATTAACAAGAGAATGTTTAGAGAACCTGATATTTTTTCGAATGTTAGGAACCAAAATTTTAACATTAACTCTCTCCCTCCCAACTTTCAAATGTGAAGAACAAAGTTGAATAACTTGTCATACAGTAATACGGTATTTGCAGGGGTTACCTGTTCTATGTTCAAAATGCCACTAGTATTGATAGTTTGATATCAGAGGCCAATGCAGTAGCTATGTACGCAGGATTTTGTAATAATATCCATGGTTAATACAGACAGCAAACATACCTTGTGTTTCCGAACAGTTGGTCGACATGTTCAAGTACCCGAACATAATATTGTGGAGGCCGATCACAATAGGATCATCGCCTGCATCTTGGACACATTTTACATTTTTAAAATTGTGCATTCCTTCATTACAAACAACTTTTCTCAGAACACCCTGGTCATCTATAATGAGATGCAAATACTTTATTATCAAAGAGTTATCCATCACAACAATAACTACAAGGATGAAAAACGTATTATGATTTTATTCGGCTGCTTTTGACATTGATATATTAACAATATTGTCTCATATACATGTATATTTCAAATGTTATGCAGCCGGATAAAATATTATGACATGTGTACTTTATACATGTTTGTTAAAACATAAAAAGATTCATAATTTAGAGAAAAATCAACACCTTTTTATCAGATGCACGTGCAATATAAACACTTATTCGAGAAAATTAGTTAAATAGTGAACTGTTGTCTGCAACTAAACAAATAGAAACTTAATCTACCTAAGTTTCTGCATGCACGGTTTATTGAAGTCAAAAAACGAAATGTTGAAACATTTGAACGTGTACACATACGATTATGAAATGAAACATGTAATCATGTATTATCTGTTATTTTAGTTGGTTAGATATTTATCCATGTCGACAATGTAAACGGTCTTATGGAGACCCTTTCCAGCTTAATTGTTGAATGAAGACCAAAGTTGTCCCTCAGTGCATTATTTCATGCACTAATGATGCTATATATAGACACATATTTTGGTGTTATTCTTTCTACTTTGCAATTGATATTGATTTGCTTGTTACTTTTGATTTCAAACCGACACCGTAAAGGTCATACGATGACTTTCCAACTTTACTGGTGGAGGAAGAACTCAGGTGCCTTTCGAGCTGCAGCTGTTATTAAACAGTTGATACTATTGACAAGTATTTTAAATATTGAAAACCCTACTTACTATCATAGTATCCACTAGCGTATGTACAAATCGCACACAGGACCGAGAAAACAGAGATAACTTTAACCAACATTTCATAATAATGTTAAACATTCAATTAAGGTCCAATTATGAAACACGGAAGTGTGTTCAATTGACAATGTACATTAAAATGATAAAACTTATCCATGTGTTTACAATTGCTGGGTAATAGGCAAATTCAGCGCAATGTTGATAAGATGATAATTTTGTTATCACATGTGTTAATGACACATATATTTATTCGTAACATAAAAGGTCATACCTCAACTGTTTTCAAGTGAATTGCTCGCTTCTAGATTGACAAAGAAAACATCAGTAGAAAACACAACGAATCTGACTGACTTTTTGTACAGTGCACCCTAATCTAAGTACTATGGAACCATTTAGATAACTATTGGCATGATTTCTACAGCGGATCTACTTGAAATTCAGCATAAGTAGAAAGAGGAGGAGGAGAAGAAGAAGGAAAAGAAGAAGAAAAAGAAGAGGAAGAAGAAGAAGACGACGACGAAGAAGAAGAAGAAGAAGAAGGAAGAAAGAAAGAAAGAAATGAAGAAGAAAATTAATTTCATTTCTACTTTGTACATGGAACGAGCCTCGTTGTTACTATTCATAATATAATAAAATTAACAATGTCATACTGATAAAGAGCTAATATGTAAATTAGTATGTTATTAGTATGTTATTAGTTTTTGTGGCCAGTCGTATTTTTATATCAACTAATGAATACAGCCAAAGCATATAGGTTTTTTTACTCGAGTCTTTGTCAAAGGTGAACAATTTAGTCCTGGTGTTCTATCTGTTCAAGGAAATGTTAAATGATCTCTCATTGAAATATAGAATGGCAATTATGATGTACAAATGAGGATAAGCAATGTTTACGGAATGCACAATTCCCAGTTCGCATGACCACTGAATTTGGAAACATTTTTCTAGAGTAAAAAAAGACGAATCATAGCTCAAACAGTTATTAGAAATTAATGCATATATCAAATTCCATATACAAAATGATTAAATAGTTGTTTTTTTGTACTAATTTATCAGAATTTCATATATCTTGGCATAGTTATTGTTATAACTTGATTTTGCAACTCTGTTAATGAGGAAAATCATATATGTTAGTTTATTAAGGAGGCACCATGATAACACCATGATGACACCATGTCAACATGATAACAGCAAATGGCTATAAAGATTTAACATTATCCAAATAGTCGTGTTATTTGTTAATGCTTTCTCTTGTCAGTAAATGTGAGTCTTCGCAAAGGATTTTCATGAACCACAAATGCTGTTTTATAGCTATTTGTTACCTGTTGTTGAAAATGACATGAAAAGTATAACTCACATTCAGGGGCATATAACTCAACAAGTTGAATGATGACCACCATTTCTTTCCATGTGTTTCAATTATGATTTTCCTTAAAGACGTTTTCGGAAGTATTGTTCTTTTAACAAAAGCAAATAAGGAAAATTAAGATCTAAGGCAGAAAATTTTCTTAAACATTCCAAGGTAAATGCTCCTTATTTATCTTTGTAAAATTTACACTTCTTTAATATGTGTTTTGCCAATTGAAATATTTATTTAAAAGTTTTATTATTAATTTGTTGGAAATTGTAAGCAAATAATATCACGGGACAAACCAATTATGAAACAAATCAGAGATGCATTAATCATACATATGGCAATAGAAAGAACGTTTCAAGGCAAAAAGCATTTACTAGTACTTGACGTACTTTTAAACTCGTACATTTCATTGAGTTTATTTACCTTCTCTCAATACCAAAGGGAGATTAAGCTTATGAAGTCACTTTGTTAATGATAGCTTGTTATCTCGAATTCAACTGCAAAACGAATAAAATTATTTGTCTCTGATACTTTTTACGTTTATTCTGTTGATAATAGACAATCTGATAGTTATTCTTATCTTCAGTATTCTGGGAAATATTTTTTAGTCTTTTAGTAATTATTTTAAATATATGTTTTGATCATAATCTACTGATAATTTCTTACTCATTTTCATAATTTTCATAATTTGTACTTTACTGGTTGGCTTATAAGCCATTTTCCTTTCGTTAATCCAATGGGTGACCTTTTTAAAATTTACTTTCCTTACGCGTCTGTTTTTTTGTCGATTTAATACAAGATGATTGTTTCCTTGTTGAAGAACGGAATGTACAAGTGTTCAAAACTTCCGTGTTTTCTTGTTTCGGAAGAACACACCCAATGTATCTATAGTAACTAAAGGTGTTTATAAGGATAATTGTTGTTTACGGTTTATTACTTGAAGAAAATTTGAAATGAACTTTAATTACATTATTGACATACAGATAAACAGTGTTTGTGAACGCAAAAAATTAACAGAGAAGTCAATTTCAATGACGGCCAAAATACGACTGTCCGTATAATTGTGATAAACCTTACAAATTTAACAATAAGAGATTTATGTTTAAAATTAAGCTTTGTACTAGATTGGTTTTAATTATTTTCTATAATATATGATAAGTTACTTAAATTTAATGGTCTATACGTTATTAGCTTATTTTTTAATCAGCTAAGAAGTAAATGTCATATTGCTGTCTTTGGGTAAATCAATGGTAATATGTTTTTGACAAGTTAATGCAGGATTTTTTTTCTTAAAGTGACAACTAAACATTTCATTTTTTTTTTGTATAATGTGAACATTGTTTCAAAAGAATGAAAAACTATTCTATATTTTAAATACAATTTTAGCTAAAGTCTTAAATTGTACAGAATTAAACATATAATTCCTTTGATATATTACCTTTCTGAAAAACAGTAGAATAAACACAATATATTGGCCTATTCAAGAATTAAAATTTATTGTATTTTGGAATATTATCAAAAGAAAGCTATGTATTGCATGTAAAATAATGAAATACGATATATTTAATGTAATTATAATGTTGCTAATTTCCTTAATATATTTTATTTGTCTGATTGTAAAATGCGATCCAACTAGACTTGGCACACTAACCCATATGTTACTTTCTTCATTTGCGACTATTTTGTACTTGGTCTGAAAAAATTAATGAATAGCAGAAACATATACGAAGCCATGTAAAACGAAAAACATGTGTTACCTTTTTTTAATAAATATATAGAGGATATTCAAGTTTTGTCTATAAATACATAATTTATTTTCATCGAGCGATATGAAAATAAATAGTTCATGAGTGGCGGTAGCCACGAGTGAAATATGATAATTTTCATGCCACAAGATGAAAATAAATCATGTATTTATAGAAAAAAAATTGAATTTTCTGTTTATTTTATATATTTTTCTCTTTTTAGACATCACAATTTGACAGTCTTTTCCTTAAAATTTTCTATACTGGCAGAAGTTAAGAGAAAGTAGTCCGGCAAGACACCAGTGGAAATACGGAAAATATGTTTCACTGCAGTGAAAAATAGATTTTTACAGTGAAAATACGGAAAATAAAAATACACATTTTATTTTATCAATATTTTTCAATATTTCATTTATAAGTATATAATATATTATTATTATTTTTATTGGCGCGATGCATTGAAGTCAATATAGACTATTATAATTATGGAGCCACCACTTTTTTGGCCTTTTATTCTCACACATTTTTCTTTAATCACATAAACCAACGTTTCATAATATAATGATAACATAAATTTACAATAATAATAATTTAATGCTCTTACAATTTAAAGTGCATTTAGATTTAAATAATCATTTTGCAAAAGATGCCGTTAAATAAAAAAATGAAAGGTACGCCAAATATCACTTGTATTTTTATAATGCTCATGCTGACATAAATACTTTTGATAAATTTCAACAACGTGATAGCTCTACAATCTCTATACATTTCCATGTCTCACAACCATTTACGTTATTTATTGCACCAATGAATCATTGTGTCGGTGACTTTTTTATTTCTTCTTTATTAACATTTACGACCGTTAAGCGGAACGAAATAGATAACACTGTGTAAACACCATAACACTGTAATTGCATAAAGGATGACAAGGTTATTGAAGTAGGACTCACAATGTTTTTAATGATCTGGTTTGTTTATCTAGGTAAGTGTAGAAGTAATTTTCACAGTACTTTTTTTTAATTATTACTCATCTAACAATAAAATGTTTTTAACGAATACATATTTAGAAGTACAATTTCGCCTTATCAGTGATATGAAAGTGCCACATTGTACCCGAAATACTTGGATAGTTATTAGTTGATATTCATCTTAAAATTGAGGAAGTTAATTTTCTCTTTTTCCAGTTACACAAAGTAAAGCATATTGTATAATCTCAGTAGTCATTTGAACTCGAAACATTAAATCAAGTACATGCATACCAAATTGTTTTGTTGCTAGGTTTACATGATGTCATTTTTATTTGTCATTCAAATACAAAAACCTTGCGAAATATCTACAAGGTCGCAATAATTATTTGTTACATTACCGAGGCCACCTGGAAGGAATGCACTCGGTAGATTCATAGAAATGTTAATTTGTTTAGTTTATTTATTCTGGCATGTTATACTATTGAATATACCTTTCAATACAAGTTGTTGATTTTTTTACTTACAATTCTATGCGAAAATATTATTACGGCATTGAAAATGTTAAATTTAATTTCATAAACTACTTTTTCACAGGTTCCGTGAATTCTTTTCCCGATAACTCATCAATACTATGCTTCCTTCATGAAAACTTTAAAAGCAGTCCTTGTAATGATGAATCTGAATCATTGTCATGTTCCGAAGATCAACAAATTAGAATAAAAGAGATTCAGATCTCCAAAAGAACAACTGGAAACACTGGAATTTGTAATGGCTGCAACCTACAAGCAAATCAAGGTCACTGGGATACAGTTGATGGAATTGTATATTTTGAAACGTTACTTTATCAGGCTTGCTCAAGAAAGAGCCAATGCAACTTCTCTCAAGATGATATAGTACAAAGCAACGAGACTACTAAATATTTATGGAGAGCCAACATAATGTATGAGTGTGTAGAAAAAGGTGAGCATTGAGATTTTATTGCCAAATTGTACATATGTTTGCATAATAGTAGCATTAATTACATATGATAATTGACGACATTAAAATAATTTAATTAAATATATCACTACATCGTTAAATGCAACTAAATTATGCGATTAAAAATGTTATGATGCTGCTTAAGTCTATAATAATTTGTAAATAAATTATGTCTACCCATTTTGGAAAGCTGGTCAATATCCACATGTTTACATGTTAGAATGACATAACAATTCAATTATTCAAGTTGGCCGTGGAAGACTCAAAAACACACAAAACACGTCAATCCCCACAACTTCCGAAGATCTTGCAAATCATTCTGACATAGCTGACAAATTGCATGATAGGTTTTATATATTTTATCATATTGTCTTCAGATTTGTTCAAAGATTTATGTTCACCATGGAGACAAGAAACAGACTCCGTACATATTTCATTGAATACAACTGGTAACGCTACAAGAAATTGTTCATGTAGCATTATGGGGAACTCAGAAAATGCCAGTATAGAAGTTGTTGACTACAGGCCATATATTAATGATATTGAATGTGCCGGACATTCGGTTGAAATCGATTGTATAGACTTGTTTGAATGTACTGAGAATGGCACAACCTTTTCTGTATACAACAAAAATATTACAGTTGACAACAATGTGACCGACATAACATTTCTATTTGGTGATTATTTGCCTAAAATGATATGGATTCATGTAAAAGGTAAACATTAAACATCTTTTTCTACATGTTTAAAACATTTGAATTATATGATTTGATCTTAGTGAAAACAAAAAAAAAACATTATATAATTTAAACATTGTATATTGCATATTCAACAGATAACAATGCTTATATGAAAATCACTTAAATTTTTTCTATAACCCTTATAATTGATTGATAAATGTATGTGTTTCAATATTTCTATCGCGCATAGGCAATAATTTGACAGTCAAGTGTAATGATTCGGAATACAGGCCGGTGCACCTATGTAGCATGTCAACAGTGGATACCACATCGACAACGACGTTATCAACCGTACCAGAAACAGAAACAGTTCCAAAGATGACAACTACGGAAGAGTCAAATACTACAACGACCTTTCCCCCATTTAATAACGAGGGTATGTGCATTATAAACAAATAGTCCTTGTACCTTAAAAACTTTATGGTCTTATAAGACACAATCCGATGCTCAAATGAAGACTTATCAATATGATAAGTTATAAAAAGCATATCTTATAAAGATATGACCGGATATAACAGTTCATGTTAATATAGGAAGGTTATAAAAAAGTGTTGTTTTGGTAAAGTCATGACAAAAAAGATGCATTTTTTTTAAAACTTATTTATAAAACTTTTTGTATAAATGTAACACATTTTCAGATGTCTGTATATTGTGTTGGTAGGAAACTTATATTCTGGTACATAGTTTCACTGAATTGTGCTTAACTGCATTAGTTTCAATGTACATACAGGATCTTTAAAAGAAAATAAACATGTCGTTTTTATTTATCTGGAGTTATGTATATGATTCCTCATTTGTTATTATGTATACCATGTCAGCTATTCATCATTTTTAGACTATAAAATATTTTCTTTGTTCGCTTTTTTTACATTCATATTAAAATTGAAGAGGGGGCATTCCTAGCCGAGTGGTAACGGTTGTTGACCTCAGACCACTTGTTCCTCACCGCTGTCCTATCAGGGACATAGAATTCGTTCATGTGAGGAACTATTTGGAAGGGGCAAATGAGGTCATCCTCTTTTAAAGTTTGTATGTCGTCATCTAAATTTCATTGTGACTTATAACTCATTAACAACAACAATAATAATAGTAATAAAATGAGGACCAGAGAAAAGATATTGAAATATTATTTTTGATCATTAAATTCACATACATGCCAAAATCTGATAATTAATAATTTGTTTTGACTTTAAGGTAGCACAGACAGAAGTATTTTCAGCCTTCCCGTAATAGCCGGAGGGTCAGCAGGGTTGTTGGCTTTGATTGTTATCATTACTATCATTATTTGCATCCTTTGCAGAAGGTAAATGCATAGCATATATTTGATACCTTATTTGATATAATGTTTAAATACATGTCAACATATCATTGCAAAAAAACCCCCATCGATTCTATGTAAGAGAACAAAACCTAAAATCGGATATATTACGTTTGCTTAAACATAAACACTCTCCCTACAGATAACATTTCGAGTACTTCATCATTCTGTTATAGAACTGGTGACATTCGGCTTCTTTAAAACAAATCAACAAATCTCTTCGTACATTGTACATGTATACATCAGGTTTACAAATTATGGCATTAATAGCTAGACTAATGTCAAATAATAGTTACTTAAAATGACACTTGTCTTACAGGAAGTCAAATACCAAAGATAATGGCAAGGAGAACATGTACGCAGTATATCACGCTGAATCAAACACGGCGAATATATCGACTAGAACAGATAGTGCCACGAAGGAAGGTTATAAAACCGAAAATAACATAGTACATATCACAATGAAGGATACATTAAACTCAAACTATGAAGAAGTAGGGAAGAATATAGAAGAAGCAGATGCTGATGGTGGTGGTGACGACACTGTTTATGCAGAGCCAGCAGATGTTGTTGATAACATTAATGCAGAAACAGATACAGGTATGCAGATGTCAAATAAAGCTCAGAATAAAACCGAGAGTGTTAATTACACGGAACCGTACGATAAAGCTCTTGTTATTGATAATAAAAGCCAAAATGACTATGCCAAAGTCATAAAATGTGGACGGAAGAAAGAAGCGTACGACACGTGCACCGGAATCGACAAATATTCACACATCCAGATTGGAAAGACTAAGCAGGTACCAAAAACTGAGGACAACTATTCTCATATACAAATAGCCGGGAATAAAAATGAAAGCTCGTGTTCAGGAAATTATTCCCATACCAAAGTGAGACCAAGGGATGAATGTAAACCTCAGGAATGTTCTGACATGTACAGTCATGTTGAAATCAACACCACAAAACAACAAGACCTAGCTGATACGGGAAATAAATCAGTAGAAGTGGATAACAATAGTACAAGCTTAGAAGAAGTGGAAGAAGAAGAAGAATATGACCATTTGAACAATTTTTCTCATCACTGAATTATGTTAATTATATTATTATTAAAGGGTTAATATGAATGAAAATTGTATGGGTTTTAATTCCCATCATCATTGTAGTCGTCAAAGGGTGGTTTTGTAGCTTTATTAGGGGAGAACGACCTCAGGTGCCACATCGTGCTTTATTTCAGGCACGAACGGACGCCTGAGTAGAGTAGAACCACTGACGTTTCGTAAAGCTAGATGGACAGCTTCTTTACATGATGGAGTCCAAAGTTCCTGGTAGAATTCGAACCCATAGTGGGGAGGGTCAATTTGTTTTAAGTCAGTAAAGTTTACCACTCGGCCAAACACAAACCCGTTATTTTTATTCGATAGAATCTGAAATTATTAGTTATAGTTCGTAGTCCAATACGGGGTTTCTATGGTCCACGTCAACACTCATTTCCAAGCATATTACTTTAAAGGGTAACTTATGAAATATTCTATAAAATTTATCAACAGTAAAGTTATATTGTTTCCATAATCTTATGCTGTTTCTTGAAGAATTTGTAAAATAAAATCTCTGTTATTTAACATGCATTAATATTGTCTGAATACAGAATAAGATGTTTCGGAGGAAAATATTATGCTGCTATTGAAAGTAGGTTTTAGCTAACATATGAGTCATTCCCTTTTAAGGCAATATACGACAATACTATATTTCATACAAGTATTATGGAAGTATTATTCTACAAAATGAAAATAATAATTTTGCAGTAGATAGCTTAATATACACTTAAATTATTTGGATGAATAGTTCTTAACTAGTATATCCGTTTCTATCAGTAAATCACGCGCACATTTTGTTGATATCCGTTGTTTAACCTAATTTGATATATCGCCGTGTATATTGCATTAAAACATTTAAACACTTTCTAAGTTATATATAACAGGCTCTTATTAAAACAGTCTAATGATTAAGGGTACTGTCATTAATAGCATCTTAAAAATTGTAAATGCATGGTATTCTTCATAATGGACATACATTTGTGTAGCACATAGGATATCATAGGTCTTAATTTGTAAAGCTTTGTCATAATGAAGATCATATGTGGATTAACTACAAAACATCTGCTTAAAAATAAACTATTCTTTATACAATGATAATGCAAAATATATGTATTTCCATTATAATAGGTAACGAATTGTTTTAATAACAATCAGTCCACTTGACGATATTTTTTTGGTCATATTTAGCATTGAGGGAACATTCCTGCTTTAACACAGTGCATTTGTATTATTTTAAGACATTTGACAGAAAGCCTACTCTCTGTAATATTAGTAGGTAGTGGTAACAGTATGTTAAGAACGAAATTGCAATAATTCGTCTGACCTTGTCAATGATTAAAGCAACATATTGAATTTGAATTTCATTTAGAATAATATACACGGCTTTGTGTGTTTGTATGTTTTTGCAATAAGGAAGTGCTATATAATTTACCTGAAATCTAAAGCTGTCATTGTAGGTGGTTTAGCAAGATAAAAAAGTAGTATGCGTATATTGTATAAACGAATATTAAATTGTAATATTTTGAAACAAATGTGAAAGTTATTTCGTCAAATAAGCCACTTGAACCAAGTCATAAGTGACAATGATACAGCGCTTATAACTTTACACAGACTCGATCATCTGTTGATACAAATCCTACCTGCAAGAACACATCAAAAGCTATCTTTAGGAATATAAGATAGTACTTAAGTTTACTTTGTTACTTTGTTTACAAACTAGAGAAAACAAGAAATGTCCAGTCCAGTGATACAGTTCCATAGGTTTCTTAATTCAAAAAGGAAGTGTCTATCACATACGTTCCTTAAATTGCATTTGATCATGTACTGACAGTATCCCTTCCATGGGCTAAATAAAATTTGAATTTCTAATTTGAATTATAATTTATGTCAAGTTTTTAATTGTTTATTACAATATTATTATTTATGTTTTTACAGATATCACGTACGCCAACGTTACCTGCCAATTTGTAAATCACTTCATACTTTATTTACAATCTCAGTAATTTATTGTTTATAAATGTGACTTTCATAAGTCAGGTTTGTACGCGGAACGAAAAAGATCACATTTGGTAAAAAATATATAAATTAAATAACATATATGATGACAATTTTGTTTCAGTAGGATTTAAAATGTTTTTAATTATTTGGATTATTTATCTAGGTAAGTATAGAAATAACTTTGATAGTACTAATGATCTGTGCTACTCTTCAACGTTATAAAATTCAAAATATTAAATTTTTAAGTGAACAAATAATGTTGTATCACGTTAAGATATATTGCTCGGTATTTTCAAACTTAACATCGCGAAAGATTAATATGTACAATAAGATGATTAGATAATAATGAAGTCGAAAATTATCAGACGCATTTCTTTTCACAATTAGTTTCTTCCATATATTTGTGATTAACCAACCTACATTTTATCAATTTATGTGCCAAATCGATTTTTTATCATTCAAAGGTAGATTATATATAAGCATTATATATAAGAGTATTATTTTGCAGGTTCCGTTAGTGCCTTTCCTAATAACTCGTCAACAGTTTGCTTCCTTCACAATAAAACTCAAAGTTATATTTGTGACCAACATTCTATGCAGTTGTCTTGTTCTGGTGAACACGTGATTAGAATAAATAACATTCAAGTAGTGACAATGTCGACTGGACATTTGTTGTGCAGCAAATGCGAAACAGACTATACAGCAGGGGGATGGGATATAGTCACAGACAAAGTCATTGTATATTTTGAAACTTTGTTATATCAATCTTGTTCAAGGAAAAGCCGGTGTAATTTTTTACAAGACAATATACATACCACAGAGCAATCGAAATATATCTGGAAAGCAAACATAAATTTCGAGTGTGTCAGCAAAGGTAAGAAAAATTTACAAAATATCAAAGTATATTTTTAAAGATTATATTTCTTTTAATATCTTTAAATGTACATTTTTCAAACAACAACAACAACTACAACTACAACTACGACGACAACAACAACAACAACAACAACAACAAAACTACAACAACATTATCATTATTATGACCACCCCGAAGAAAAAGAAGAACAAAGAAAACAATGCGTGCCTGAAAACTCAATCCAAAGATCCTAAACAAACTGTCATTCGTAACTGATTCACAAAATATAGCTATCCCGAACGAACTGTAAAGGGAAATGTTTACCAACTTTCAAAGCAAAACAAATCAACTTACATCAAAATGTTGTCCGAAAATTATGTTCAAGAAAATACGCAACGACGAGCAAAAATTAAATGGCTACTTACGAAGTATTTAACATCTCTTTGTTTATTATCAATATTATCAAATTTTACGCATCACTTTAGCGCATGTATGAAACATTAAGATCTACACGTTTAACGGTATTACTACAAATTTAAATTCATGTTACAAATTTGTATTTCTTTTCTTATACGCAAAAGTCGCATTATTGAATACTTAACCATTAACATTCTTACTTCAAAACTTTATATTACGGTGAAGAAAAAACTGCTTTTTTTAATTATCTATGTATCATTATATTCAGATTTATTCAAGAATATATGTTCACCATGGAAACAGAAAACTGACTCCGTGCATATTTCCCTGAATAGAACCGGTTATGCTACAGGTAACTGTTCATGTATTGTTGAGGACTACACAGAAAATATCAACATGGAAGTTGTTGACTACAGACCATACGGAAATGATTTTAGATGTGCAGGTAGCACATTTTTAATTGGCGACACAGCCATGCCTGAATGTGAAAACGACGGCGTAGACGTTTCTATGTATAACACAAAAATGACAATTATCAACAATGTAACTATGATATCAGTTTTATTTTCTGACTATTTTCCACAAATGATATGGATTCACGTAGAAGGTAAGCACTGTTTTAAGATTTTGAACGATATGATTTAATTTATGATAATACAATGCGTTTATCAAATCGGTTATCAAATTATAAATCCATTTTATGATAGTTTTATAAGAATATGATAATGTTCAAGGAAAAAAATATTTTTTTTTGTAACGAGGGCTACCTAGCAAATATAAAATCGCATTTGACAAAATCGAATGAAAATTGTTAACAATGATTAAGCTATCAATATGTTAACAATTGTGTCATGTTCACACTTAATTGTAATGATCATCAATACATCTAGTTGATTACGTAGATATTTTTTATATACTTTGTAATCAAAGTTAATGTTGGTAATATTTATTAGAAATATAAAACGTTAGAAATAGAAAATCTTACTGATGATTTATTTAAATATTCTGTGGTTTATGTAATGGACTTAATATATTTATGCTTACAGGTTTTCAAAAGCTTACCAATTTATGTATAAAAAGAACATACGCTTTGGAATTATATCAATTTCTATGTGATACATTGTTGTATCATTTTTAGGTAACAACATGACAGTTCAGTGTAATAATGAAGGTATGAGCTTAACAAGCTCCCCGTCAAGTTCCTCTTCCACTGATTCTATCTTCACAGATACCTTAACAACCTTACCTGAAAAAGACACAACAAAAGAAAATACTATCACAGAAACAAATACTGCAATGACTACTTCCTCGTTATTTAACAAAGGTATGAATGTAACAGAAAAGTGGATGAATATGGTATTGCGTTTATCCGAAGTTTTGTCCATTTTTTGTTACATATAATGATTCATACTTATTCATTAATTTACATAAAATGCCAAATTATTCATTTTTATTTGTATACTTTACACATTTTTTCTTTCAATAATTTCGGAATAAAAATGTCAATGTTAACTTAAATATTGTTAGATTCAGGTGTAGTACCAGGTCTCTTTAATCTTCTTTAAATGTGGTAACTTGTGCAGGACTTAATAACCAACATTTGGCTGGACCGTAAAGTCGACAATGTCTTAACGAGCAATGAAATAATTACATATCACAGTCATAAAGATGTTCTATTTAAGATAGAAATAACTTTGGCTTGTATGTCTCGATAATACATGTACAAATACTTGTTTCTTACAGGCGTCAAAGCCTTTAGATCTGTATATTTGCAATACCTTATTTTAACATCTGATAAAAGTGGGCTACTCTGTATATGTAAAAAATAAAGCACTGTATTTTACTGTTTCCTCATTATTCCTTACATTTCGAGGTACTGTTTAATAGAAAAACTTGATTCACAAACAAGAAAGACTGTTAAAAGTTTACTAATTTTCTAAGACATCAAATTATATAAGACTAAGTATATGTTGTACTTATTGATTATCCCTCATGTACAGACTGCAATTTTCATGTAATTTTGTTGTGACTTATGCTTCCGAGGGATCACTTTGTTTCCCGATTTTTGGTGTTAATCTATTGTCCATAAAATATAAAAAGATTGCAAATGATTTTTATGCAAGCTACCTAGTATTTCAGTCCTACATATTATATGAATCCGCATTACAACACGCGAATACCAATGCCACTTAATAATTCTTATGAATATGAAATGTAAGTTCAAAGTCTGATCGGGTCAAAGTGAAATAAGAATACAAGTTCTTAGATAATATTTTATTAAATCGAAAAAAAATAATCTAAAGTCCATGTTTTTATTTATTTTTGCCTTAGAAATAAATAGAATAGCTTTTCCAGACATTACCACAATGAATGTGTTTTTACAAAAAGTTAAGTAAAACCTGACTGAAGTTTATCATTTTTAGCATATTTATATTAAAATCTGAGTTAACGAACACAAAAATATGTACGTTTTAATACAACGTTCTAAAACTGTAAGCTGTTTTCAAGTAATATGTAAATTATAAATGAAAAAGGGGCATAACTCCTAAAATATTGCTTTCAGAATATGGCCCTTGTCTAACAACTGCACCTTGTCAAGAAAAGCAAGTATCCAAAGTTTCATGTTGATATCTTTTAAAATGTTTGAAAAGTGAGCTACGTTAAAGTTTTTGCACGACGATAACGACAACAACAACGAAGACGACGACAAGGACGACGACGCCGCAGCGATCAGAATAACTCGATTTTTACTTCGAAACAGACAAGCTTATAAATATTTTTTTCATTGCAAATATGGCAGTATTTAGTGTTGGCAGTATCTTAAGCTAACAAATGCACATGCAAAAAAGTGATCAGTGACAAAAATTACATACATGTATAATTTGAGTAAAGTAAAAATACATCAACCACAAAATTCCGTTCACATTGCAAACCTTAATTCTTAAATTTATATTTAATAGATATGTGAGATATGTGGATATATTACAGGAAACGAAGACAGAACAATTTTCAGCCTACCGGTTATAGCAGGGGGCTCAGCTGGTCTGTTGTTTCTAGTTGTTTTTATTGCTGTCATTATTTGTTTTCTTTGCAGAAGGTAAATACACGTATACATATACGTGAGTTAGGAACAATCATATTTATATTTAGATTTGAAAATCTGTGTATTTTTTGTCAGTATATTGCAAGAACACTGTTCGGTATTGGCGATCCTATATTCATATTATTACGTTAACTTGTATAATCAATTGTATTTTTGTTTGTTTGTTTTGATTGGGGTTTACGTCACACAAACACAGTATAGGTCATATGGCGACTTTCAAGCTTTACTGGTGGAGGAAGACCTCTGATGCCCTTCCGTGCATTATTTCAGGAACGAACGGGCACCTGAGTAGAACCACCGACCGTTCCGTAAGCTAGCGAGATAGCATACTGACATGAAAAATTCGGAGACCCTGTCGGGATTCGAACCCAAGTGGTTATTAGATTATAATGTCATGTTTTAAAATGATAAATCGTACAGTTCTGGCGTTCTTCTAGCGTTGTTTATTCATTGAAATACTTAAATAATAGAAACTAATTTAAGGATGGTAATAGAATTCAAAAAATGAGTCAAATACATACTTGTCTTACAGGAAACAAAACCAGACTTCCAAAGCTAAAGACAAAGAAAACATGTACGCGCAATATAATGCTCAGTCAAACACAGCAAACATATCACCGATAAAGTGTGGTGTCATAAATCAAGGTTACGAAACCGAAAATAAAAGGGTTCATATCGTACTAAAGGATTTTTCAAACTCAAACTACGAAGAAGTAGGAAGAAAAAATGAAGAAGCGGATGTTTGTGATTATGATGGTACTGAATATGCAGAGCCAGCAGATGTTGTTGCAGATAATATTTATGCTGAAACTTCCAAAACAGAGGCAGGTATTCAAATGTCACAAAAAGCTCAAAGTAGTATCGAGGGTCATAATTACACGGAACCGTATGATAAAGGTCTTATAATCGGTACTGAAAATCAAAATAACTATGCCAAAGTGAAAAGTGGACAGAAGAAAGAGGCGTATGACACATGCGGTGGAATCGAAAACTATTCCCATATTCTTACTGGCATGATAAAACAAGCACCAAAAACCGAGGACAACTATTCTCATATACAAATTGCCGGAAATAATCACGACACTTCATGTTTAGGCAATTATTCACATACCAAAGTGAGACAAAGGGAGGGAATTAAAGCTCATGAATGTCCAGACATGTACACACATGTTCAAAATGACACCCCAAAACAACAAGGCCTGTCTTACAAAGAAACCAAAGAAACTAAATCAGATGAAGAAGAATATGACCATTTGAGCAATTTTCCTCATCCATGAATCATTTTATAATAATCGTTCTGATTGCATTCTTCAAATGAAATAAAAATATCCCTTTTACAATTGATTTCAATTTATGGTGTGGGTTGTTATTGAGTAATCAACTGCATGTGTGATAAATAGTTATGTGTTCATTGTCCAAGCCGGTGTCTCAAAAACAGATCGTTAGAAATTCGTAGACTTTTAAAAACTTCACCGTCATAGGATTAAATTCCTGCAAACAGCTTTGGTTTTTGTGAGCAAAATATGTAACTTGTATTCGAGTGAGAGTTGGTTCTTGACATAGAAACCGGCTAACCCCTGAAATTGTGCTTTGATGGGTAAATACGGCCTTGTATTACCACTTATAACTAACAAATTGAAACAAAACAAGCCTAATTTATGCCATTTATAAAATTATATAAAATATTGATATGCTTACTTTATTATCTCATATTAAGCAAATTTTGTAAACACAAAACAAAAATTATAAAATGTAAGAGATATAAGATAGCGGTCCGTTTTCAATGCAATGACAACACAAGTGCAAGTTTTCATATCATGTATTTTACTTTCATTTATTTGGATAAAATTGTTATTGATAACAATATCAAAATAAGGAAGAATGATTAAATTAACTTTTAAGATGTGCTTGCATTTATATTTTTTACAAAACCACTCAGGAAGCCGTTATAACATAGAATAACATAAAATATGTACGTATTACTCAAATACATCGTTTACGTTTCTACAATGAGGCAAATATAGTTCAATCTTATATAAACTTAAAATCAAGCAAATCTTTATTTATTCATATGTTAAAAAACCTAGTTAAAAAGTTCGCCATGCATATTGTGCAGATTCATTCCACAACGGTCGTTTGCATTTAACATTTTTCACAATATCTAAGCTTTGTAGAGCAGGCTCTTAATAACTATAGTCATATGGTTATCTTTAAAATCATTTTAAAGCATTATAAATAAACTTTCTATTGACATAACATCTGAACGACTATTTTCTTTCTACGAGGGTTGTCCAAAAAATTCGTGCACTGCAGTTATTGTCGCAAGAGTTATTGATAGAAAAACATGAATTATATATCACTTGAAGGGGAAATCTATCTCAAATAAGAAAACAAAAGAAATAGCCATGTAACCGGCGTGTCGTGAAAACGAATCGTCATACAGATACCTTAGTAACGTAATACAGGCGCACGACAAAAAATTGGGTTAGTTCATTACTTTGATGCAGCACTGTATTCTTTAAACACTACACATAAACGTCAAAATTCAGGGAAAAATGTGTGTATGTATTCCTAACGTCACTAGAAAATATGACGTCATTTGCTCTTTTGTAACGGTCCTAAACAAACATTTCTGTGTGGTCGTCAATATTGTAATTACGTGAAAATGCAGTCGCTAAACGTCTGGAAATACGGACGATCATTAAATTTTTGCGCAAGTATTGGTAAAACACCGACATATACCTACACAGAACTTAAAAAGCAAGCGGGACCAGTTCAGTGTCACGAAGGCTGTTTTTTAAATGGCACAAACGCTCTGTAGAGGCTGGGTAGACGATAACAACCGGTCAGGCAGACCTCCGTCCGTAATGCATGTGCATGTGACGAGGGTTGTCAAATATATTCGTGCACTGGTGAATATGTTACATATACGTATGAACAATAAAAACTACAAAATACTTCGCATCAATCATTCCTCTATTGACAGTAAAACAAATTATGACATAAAAAGCAAATGCCACTTTACAAGCAACAGAAAATTAATACAATTACTGTAATGAACTAACCCTATTTTTGTCGTGCGCCGGTATTACTTAATGACAATTCTTTTTCACGACACGCCGGTTACACGGCTTTTTCTTTTGTTTTCTTATTTGAGATAGATTTCCCCTTCAAGTTATATATAATTCATGTTTTTTATTAATAACTCGCAGAAAAATAACTGCAATGCACGAATTTTTGGACAACCCTCGTTTATGAAATGCTTATGCAAAATATCTATTCCAAGTCTGCATATATAGTATATTAAAACATAGGAAAGTTTAATCTTATCTTTTTCATAGCAGGAAGTAGTGGTATACGTATTGGAAGTAAGAAGAGGCAATAAATCAGTCGATTTTGTCCTTGAATAAAGGGATAAATTTTGATTTCTATGTCATTAGAATAATCGACGCTTGAAACGTGTGTGTATGTTTGCAATAATGAAGATTTTTAATTTATCTGAAATCTACAAAGCTGTCATTGTTATCAATTAAAAAGATGACAATTCTTTTGAACACAAATACAAGAAGACAAATTAGGTTTTCACGATTTATTTAAGATTTGGCAAAATTTTGTCAATGCCTGGTGAAAAAGAAATACCGATACAAATTTTAAGGTATATGTTTCATGTATGCCCCGACATCGACCACATACTATTATGATAGAATATGCCTTAAGCAAATTCAATTACCTGATACTTATGATTTAGGGAAACGTAAATCTTGCTTCAAATCATATATAAATTGCAGATGTATGTTCCATATAAATGAAAATAATCTTCACTACATGTCATATCAACGTCAGCGCCGTTAACGGAAGCTGATGCTCAACAACGTCTTTACCAGTTTTAACCTCTTCAAAGGATTATAAGTACCAGACAAGAATTCTGTTTCCAGACATTACGAAAAGCTCCCACATTGTAATTGCCTAAAAATACAATAAACTTTCGGCAGCAAATATCATATGTGTAAAGAGAATGAGGATGTGGTTATTATTGAGTAAAGCTAGATTAAATTTAAGTTGAAACAATTTGAAAATTTACATGCCACCTTCTTTGAAAGAGACCGCTATCACGCCACTCAGCTTCTTATATAGGTGATAAAAATAACTTATCAATTTTGAACCAACAAATGGCCCCTTATAAAATCTGTTGTTAGATTGAATAAAAAATTCAATCTATAGCGATGAAACTGTATGTCATGTGTACATTGAATGAAAATACAAAGCGATTTTAAAAGTACTATTTTGAAGCTATTCCGTCATATCAGCCCTTTGAACTAGGCAAAAAGTACCACTGACACAGCGCTTATAACTATACATCGATTTGATTCTTCTGCGTGTTTTTTCATGATCACAATGTGATATCGTACTTAGAAAAATCCCCATGAAAGAACAATTCTCTTTGATAATAGTATTTCATTTTTATTAACCGATTTGTATTTGATATTAAACTGAATCTATGAAATGTCGGAATGCTTTATTGTCCAACAACGTCGAGGTGTCCAGGACCGATTGTTGAATTTTGTCGACACCATTGTTGCAAGAACTTTGATTAACGGGTTGCTGGTGGCGCGGGGATAGGGGGGCAACTAAGGTGCCTTGCTTTACTGAAGTAAATTCAATGAGGGGGTATACGGTTTTGTAAAGTGTCATGTAAACTTAACACTATTTGTACGATGTCAATTTCTCACTCCTAAAAAATATTGTAGTTTATGACCTTATTATTTTAAACGATTTAAACAAAATTAATTGATATGTGTAAGATAAGGCCGTCGACTAGTTTACATTGTTGTAGATATACAGCATATTTATCACAACATGAAATTAGATGTCCGTCAATAAACAGTTAATTGAGTACTGAAACAGGATAATTATATTCAATCAATATTTTATTATCTTGACTTGATTATTTACCATAAAATCGACAAAAACATTTGCATAATTTGAATGTCAATATAAATAATGTACGTCTCTTACTTACATATTACCGCTTTAAATATTATTTATTATAGAGTGCAATTACAATAAAGGAAATACTCCAAGAACAGTCATAACATAACATAACATAACATAACATAACATAACATAACATAACATAACATAACATAACATACATAACATAACATAACATAACATAACATAACATAACATAACATAACATAACATAACATAACATAACATAACATAACATAACATAACATAACATAACATAACATAACATAACATAACATAACATAACATAACATAACATAACATAACATAACATAACATAACATAACATAACATAACATAACATAACATAACATAACATAACATAACATAACATAACATAACATAACATTACATAACATAGCATAGCATAGCATAGCATAATAATGGAAGAACATGATACATAATATAAAGACCTTAACAAAGTTGAAATGTTTAATCATAACATATAAAATAATCATTATACAAAATTGGAAAGGGTAATCGAAGGGAATAAAACACCAATCAAGAGGTGTTAATTGCAGACTTGAATTGAATGAATGTGTTTATAAGACAGAACAGATAAAGATAATGAAAAGTGCGACATCTCTCACGTATTGTATTCAATCTTCAACACTTCGGAAGCAATAATCATTTTAGATTACTTTGTATAATGTGACAAAGATAGTGCCCGCCATTTATGACATCGCGTGAATATTACTGTCTTGACACCGTGCTTTCAATCGTACATGTGCACGCTGTATATAGTCTTTTATAGACATGGAAAAGGTGGAAATGGACAATAATACTTTATATTTGTTCACGTTAAAAGCAAAACATGTAGTAAAACTTGTTTTTCTTTTCATGTAATCTATAGATTTAATAAATAAACACAACTTCGTGTTTAAGCAATAAGGAAGTGCTGTAAATTACTAATACTTTCTTCCAGATAGTCATTGTAAGTGCTTGAGAAAGGTCATAAATATGTTTATAAGAGATGAAGGGTGTTTCAGTTCATCACAAAAGTTGTCAAGTTGTTAGTTGTATATCAATTAATTATAATAAATAAAAGTAATATTTAATGTTGATAAACTGAGTTGTGGCGAAGTTAGTGAATAAACATTAATCAAAAGGAAGTTTTTTGAAACATTACGTCATTGTGGAACATATTGTTTGTGAAATGATAATTGGTAGTTTAAGAAACTTTCTTGCCCAAAGACTGTATAATATTATATAATGCCTAATATATCAATAATTTTCACTCACATTACGAGACAATTTAACACAGAATCAAAATATAAAAGCCACCGTATAAACCTGAGAAAGGAAGTTTATTTACTTTAATAAATACATTCGTGTGTATATTTACACATTTTTGAAGTAACTATTTCTATACTCATTTATATAATGAACATTTAATGGTTTTGAGATAATCTTTCGGCATATTAAATGAAATTCGACACGCAGATAATAAATAATCATATTCAATAAGGGCATAAACGCGTTTAGTAAGATAAAATCAATGAAGACATTCAATGTAGAAAACCATTTTATCAGGTATATTTATGGGCAATATATGCACTTCATGCATGTTATTATAATCATTACGTAAAATACACTCCATAACTTGAGAACATTTACTAACAAATGATCTAATTCACATCAGTCCTGGGCCGCGACATTACCAATTAAATGGTTGAAAAAAATCATTAGAAAATATATTTATCATTGCAGTATTTCTTTATCTGTAATGCTAAATAGTTAAACTAAGATGACCAGGTAATTGAAAAGAAGCCCATTGTAATTATACTATTAGATGATTAATATCCCTTAAACTTCTAATGGACTGTTCCAGAATAAAAGCAGCTCAAAACCATAGTTACAATTTATATATTGCATATGAAAATATAGAGGAGTTAGTAAAAGATTTGCAGTTGGGCTCATAATAGCAACACAGTCTATGTCATTAACACAGATTATTGTAAACACTGAAAAGATAATTAAGCAAAAAAATGGAAAAACAAAACAAGAAAAACATATTTTTGTAAAGAGTTTTATAAACATCATTGACTGTGACACCGTTTAAATAGTTTCTTAATCCTATTTATGTTAACTATCTGTCACACAGTCCATTTTAATCTTTTTAAAATAATCTCATCCTATGGATGATTAATCGTCCTTATCAGTAGTTATGTCAATGATATATGAGTTTTTAAGATCACTTCAAAGGGCTAGATAAGAACTGAATTTATAATTTTAATCAAAATTTATATCACGTTTCGAAAAGCACACACTTTTTATTCATGTCTTAAAAGATATTACTTATGTCAACGTTACATATCTCTTCCTGACTCACTTCAAACGTTATTTACTGTCTTCTTTAATTACTATTAAGACCGCTAGGCGGAAGGAGAAGTAACACAATTTAATAAAATAACTGAAAACCGTAATTACACATATATGATGACATTGTTGCTAAAGTAGGATTGATTATGTTTCTATTTATTTGGATTCTGTATGTAGGTAAGAATAAAAATTAAAGAAGAAGAAGAAGAAGAAGAAGAACGTTTATTTCACTTAAATGTCTTGTTATGTAAACTTTCATTTTTAGTAACATTCATATATACTTATTTTTTCTGTGTAAAATATTTAAATACTCACATTAAAACTTAATTAGGACAAAACAAGCTTAGTTGGTGCTCTGTACAATGTTGTTGATTGTTCAATGCTGATAAAATGTTATGACTTTCTTGAATGTTTACATGGTAACTAGCTTATGGAGAAAATTAAACCAATATTAACATAAAATGTATGCAAATATATTCATTGAAGCGGTAAGCTTCCGATTTTTTTTCTGAACAAAAGAAAAGAAAAAAGAAGAAAAAGAAATGTGTAAATTTATAAATTGGCATAAACCTTCTCTTAAGACTATCAACGGATGTTAACATCTGTGGTATTCATCGCAAGGTGGTCTCATCTTTGGATATCGTAATCGAGGCTAATATATTGGTTTTCTTTGGTCATTTTGTATGTTCAAACAGTATGTATTATAACCGACATATACTTATGTAAATACATATGTTATAATGTCTTATCTGATAAAAGCAAAACTTAATTCTAGAGAAGTAAAATTGTATAGATTTGATATCTCTCATTGGTCTAAATGATATATTTAATTATTTAAATTATTCACATATAAAATAATTATTTAATTGTTTACGAAACCAAAGTTTAACATCGCTTAAATTTATCTTCTCATTTTGCATAATTGTTCACTTTGTATAATATTCCAGTCAATTAGGTTATAAAGTTATCAAGTATCAAGACCAGATAGATCTAATTTGGTCTTGCATTGATTATTAGTGGTCTCAATATTGGGGAAACTTAATAGAATAGAACAAAGAAATGGGACTGAAATTGGAGGTCTTAGAAGTAAAAAAGCAGGGTGGTCTTTATTGTGGATCATGCTACAATTGAAGGACAGAAATTATCATTCTATAAAAAATGTCCTAAAAGAAGAATGATTTTAATTCCGGAATGGTCTTAATTGGGGTGTCTTACTAAGTCAAAGAAAGTTATAGATATCCAGAACCCAAGTGGCTCTGTAATGGGCAATTGCAAATTGTGATTATTTAATTGTCTATTAACATAATAGACACTCTGTGCTACATGGTATTTACTAAATTTATATGTTACAGGTTCCGTGAATTCTCTTTCGGACAACTCGTCAAAGCTATGCTTTGTCGGTGATGGTATAGTAAACGTTTTTTGTGAGAATAGTTCTACGGAATTATCGTGTTTTAATGATCACATGATAAGGATAAAAGGAATTCAAATAGAAAGTACTTATGAAAGTAGTCAGATGAATGATTGTGGAAAATGTCCTCCTAATAATGACCCGCAAGATGAGTGGAAGAATGAAACGGATATTACATATTTTGAGGCATTACTGTACAAGGCTTGCTCCAAGAAAAGGATGTGTATTTTTACAACAAGTGATATTGGGAACGATAATCATGTCTGGACAGCAAATGTTAAGTATGATTGTGTTGAAAAAGGCAAGAACAAACATTTTGTATGATACAGTTAATATTTTATAATACATTTGTGAAAGTCCCATAAATCATTATTTAATTCATATATCATTATTTTATAGTTTTAAATGACTTAAAGGGACAACGTGGCAGGATGGTGGTATCTTAAGTTACCATATTGAACTTAACACAACATATTCTAATATTTCTTTAAATCTTATTTATGAACCTTTCTATGGTTTCATTTCTTTTATTTTAAAGATGTTAGAGAAATTCGAAATATGAATGCACAGTGCATATACATATCATATGTTTATCTAAGAAACACAGTTAACATTGCAACATTTTATTTCAAACTACACAGAGATGTCATTAATTTTATAAAACCTTAACATCCAAATAAAATGTAAACGATAACTTTATGTGATCATATTATTGTATTATATGTATTATATACAGAATTATTCAAGGATATGTGTTCACCGTGGACAAAGAAAACAGACTCCGTTCATATTTACCTGGACAGAACTAATAATGCGTCCAAAACCTGTTCATGCACCATTGAAGGCGACACGGAAAACACAAAAATGGCAATTGTTGACTACAGGCCATACACAGGCAACTCTAGTTGTGCTGGTAGCTCAGTTATAGTAGATGGTGAAGATATGTTGCAATGTACAGAAAACGGCACATACTTCTCAGTGTTAAACAAAAATATAACGATCATCAACAATGTTACCAAAATAGCAGTTTCATTTTCTGATGATTTACCTCAGATGTTATGGCTACATGTCAAAGGTAAAAATAATTGTTCATATACATGTAAATGAGTACATTCACATTTTCAAGATATCTTAAAGAACTCCAAAGTTCTCCTTCATGGTGACTTTATCAACTTTACGCGTTTATCATTAATATGTCTGTGCTGAAAGATAATGACCATCAAAACATCAGCTTGATATGTCTTTCAAAAACTTACAATTATATAATACAAGCATAATATCTATAGAATTTATAAGAATATTATTTTTTATGGATTTATATATTTTTCTTCTCTAGTTACTAGTATCGAGTTAATGTAGCGATAGCCGCATATTTTTCAAAAGTTAACAATTTTATTTTTAAAAGAAAAATGTTTATAATAATTATAAGAGTTATATGATTTAGATTTAAAAAGGCCCAGTATGCACAAGAAATGCTTTCACTTTTAGTTCTTAAAGGTTTGTTGTATTGAAGTACTTTTATAGTTTCCTAAGAATACTCATTGGCCAATTATCTTAACCATTTTTCCCTTTTTGGTAATAAGTTCAGCGCCTTTTAACATATTGATGTATCAATTTAAGGTATAAATATGACAGTTCAGTGTGGTAACAAAAATATCAGCTCAACCTTTCCATCTAGCTCCCCAACTAGCATCTCTACTATTGACACCATTTCAACAGATACCTTAACAACCTCACCAGAAAAAGATACATCAAGGGTAACAACTAACACAGAGTCAAATACTGTAACGACTACTTTGTCGTTAAGTTACGAAGGTATGTGCATAAAAAGATTAATATGGTTTGATTTATCTAAAATTTTGCACATTTTAGTGTCATGTTATCATATACAATAATTAAAAAGTATTCAGTTAGAGTCATATAAAAACTAAATCTAAACATCTAATACTTTTTACTTGCATGATGTGAACAAATGCTTCATCTTTAGAACGCTGATTTACTTATAACGTTTAGAAAACCACTTAAATTATGTTATTTGTTTGCAATTCCAAAACAAAAATATCAGTTCTAATCTTACTGCGAGATATATCTTTCACATTATTAATTTCAATTTATATTAATTTTTATGTGTGTTTACGTTTCAGAAAACGAACATGAAAATGTTTTCAGCCTTCTGGTAATAGCCGGGGGCTCAACTGGTCTGTTAGCTGTAGTTGTTATCATTACCGTTACAATTTGCTTCCTTTGCAGAAGGTAATTACATACTAATATACCTACCATTAAATATTTCACTTTGATACTGAGTATTTAATGACTAATCATTTTTCGATGGTGTGACTGGCTAAGACACAGTCACAACAATGTCCATAGAAAATGACATTGACCTCGATACTAGTAAAACTTATTTATAATTTACGTCATACGCGTGAAACATGACTTAGCTAAAGGCAACCAGTCATTCAAGGATTTACCGGATTTAGGGTTAAACGTTACGTAAAGTAAACATGCGATGTAAATTATTGATTTTGGTATTACAAATACAAAAAGCGTTTTGCTTTGCATTCTAATGAACATAATAACATTGAGAAAGCGGTGAAAATGCCGAAGAGACGTATAGCGTCTGCTAAGTAAGGACCTTTTTGCTTTAAAAAGGCTATCGGTCAAAATGAAAATTAAAAAAATGAAGAATTTTTTTTGCCATACAATTAAGAATTACTACAAGGTTATAAAAGTCTATTGACCTGATTAAACAATGCCCGTGGTATATAACAACTTGGACAGGTGATCATCACCATAACATCGCTGTATTATCGGAATTTGCCATCAATTTTTGATTTATTTTTGTTCACTAGTGAAACACAATGGATGATTTTCAGGTTAATAAGTCAACATACAAGTATATCACAGGTGTCATTCATTCGTTGTTAATAAATTGAAATACTTGAATAAGAGTTACAAATAACATGATGGTATTAAAGTCAAACAGTGTTAAACATTTGTCTTACAGGAAATCAAATAGGACTACCAAAGATAAGAACAAAGAGAACATGTACGCGGAATATAATGCTCAGTCAAACACGGCAAATATATTTAATTTAACAATAAAGAGTGGTGTCATAAATCAAGGTTACGAAACCGAAAATAAAATTGGTGATTTCGAAATTAAGGATCTTTCAAACTCAAACTATGAAGAAGTAGGGAAGAAAAAAGAAGAATCGGATGATGGTAGTTGTGACGACAATGTGTATGCAGAGCCCGCAGATGTTGCTGATAACATGTATGCAGAAACATCCGAAACAGAGAATCTAAGACCACAAACAGAACAAAGTAAATTTGAGGGTGTTAATTACACTGAACCGTATGGTAAGTTCGTTATCACTGATAATGGAAGCCAAACTAATTATGCCAAAGTCATTAAAAGTGAGCGAAAGAAAGACGCGTATGACACGTGCGCTGGAATCGACAACTATTCACATATTCTTATTGACATGAAAAAACAAATACCGAAAACCGAGGACACTTATTCTCATATGGAATTTCCCGGAAAAAACCATGACACTTCGTGTTTAGACAATTATTCACACACCAAAGTGAGACCATGGGATAGGAGTAAAGTACAAAAATGTACTGGTATGTACATTAATGTCAAAATCAACACCACGCAGCAAGACCTGATGGATAGAGAAACTGTTATAAAAGAATCAGATAATAATAGTGCTAGTCTAGAAGAGGAAGAAGGAGAATATGACCATTTGGACCATTTGTCTTATCACTCTGTTATTTAAAATAAATGTCAATAATGTCAAACTTAAACTTTGATATTCCTTTGACAATCGTATTTAAGAATTTTGAGGATCGGATGAACATTGAATATCAAACTATTTCTTTGATCGTTATATTTTATTGTCCCAAAACGTCAGGGTCTAATGGTTGAAGTTAGATTTACGTGAGGAAGATATTTAACTTTTTAATGTTTGATGATCGTCTACTAAGGAATTCCGAAATTATGTACAAAAGTGCATACAATTTCTTTTTAAGTGTCATGTGATCTTTGGTGATAATTATGTTTAACAAATCCAACGTTGTTGATATATAAATTTTATATTTGTAAAAATGGTTAGCTTACTTTATTGTAAAAAAAATTCAATTTAAAAACGGTTAATTATCTGAAAATTATATTAAATTAATGTCTGTTATCAGTCAAGTCAGTTCACATTACATATTGTCCATAATCATTTATGCTTGTTTGCATTTGACAATTTTAATAATTTTACGAGGGTAATAAGCAGTAAAAAGAAATATCAACAAGGGAGCGAGACATGCACTTAACGCAGCCCCAATAGTACCTTGCCACACAGGGCCATAGGATAAGCACCCTGTTATGAAACACAGAAAAAGGAGAGAACAAGCCCGGAACAAACATTAAAACAAATACAGTTTATAATGGATACAGTTTTATAACTTATGTAATAGGTTTGAATGTTAGTTCATTGACAGAATCGCACAGGCCATATGTCTGAGTAGCTGCAAGCTTCTAAAAGATAAACCTGGTATTATTGAATGATAATGCAATATAAAAATATAAAATATCTTTTTTCGCATTCTGATATAAAAAGAATTTTTCAAAATCTTTGACTATCATTCACAATAGATATATCAGTTTGATGTCATTTTTGTTAATATTCATCATATTTGCGACGTATAAATGTCTCAGTATTAATATCGTGTATACGTCTTAGTTAAACATAGCTTTGCTCTATCAGGAAGTAGTGGTAATCGTATTACAAACGGGCAATAAATCACCCGATATTTGTACATTAACGATATTTCATTTCAAATAATTTATAGTTGAAACACGTGTTGATTTTTATATTGAGGAAGTGTTGTGTCAAGATGGTGTGTCTTTGATTCTTCTTTTCGTGTGCTTTAATTGCTTTTATATTAAATACATTATGAATTTAAGTACTTACAATTTTTTTTAGATAACTTGATTGTTTTCATTTTTAAAAATATAATATATTTAGAATACGGTCAGAATTGGAGAAGGGCGAATGCAAAAGCAATTGGCTAACCAACCAGTAAAACTTGCAACGCGCAATTTGACCTAATAAAAAAGTGTTATTTTATAATTTAAATCCCAACAAACCATCAAAACATTTAAGGTTTTATTTCGAAAATGAAAATTTCACTATATCTAATATTCTTTGGTCTCTTTCATAGTGATCTGTAACAGAAGTTTATCATGCAACTGCTTTTGCAATTGTCCGATATATACTATGTACTTTATGGCAGGTAAGTAAACTGCTCACCGGTTTTAATTTGCTTTGTAGAAAAAAGCTTTTTGTTATTTTTGCAAATCATCTCATAATCTGTTATAGTCTATCTAGTCTAAAATTTATGCTTTAACTTCTATCATTATTTTGGCTTTTCGAATATTAAAAGGGATATCCTACTTATGTGGACTTAGGTGTTTGGGTAACACTTTACTTAAAGATCCTGTTACTCAATTTTTTATGGTTTTATATCATAAATATAAGTTCCGAAAAGCATTACTTGTAAAGATATTACCGAATTTACATTTCATGTTAATAAAATGAGATAATTAGAAATTTATTTTCTATACAGTATAAGTCAAATTTGCCAATAGAAAATCAATGCATATATTTTAATTGATTACATATGATGTGCACAAATATCATACATATTCTTCGATGTTTAAATGTTGTCTTAGAAACATAATTAAATACATATATAAAATTTCACTTAAATGTGGTAACAACATTGATTTTCATATACAGGATCTTTAAATTTTATGTGCAAGTTGTACAATATCATCTCATCAACCACTGAAGTTGCTTATAACTTCACACACTTATTTTGAGATCATAAAATAATGACGACATCAAATACCCATAGGTAATAGAAAGAGCATCGAAACACGAGGCTATCTGATTTGTACGAGGGGGCGTAGTCCCCGAGTAAACCGAGTATAAATCAGATTGCCAAGTGTTTTGATGTTCTTTCTCTTTTGTATCATAGTCAAGCATAAAAACACGTTCCCTGTTGTCACAATATGAAAACCCCAGAGAAAAGTATCCAATGAAAGAGCATCTGAATATGAAATTTCTGTCGCTTTTCCTTTCTCAGCCGTCACAATAAGTAAACCCCAGCAAAAATGAACCAATCAATTGGCATGCTCTGGAGAGCGGGTAACTAATACCTGCACTCCAGTTAACGCACTGTGCATGTATATGTATACGATTTAACTCTGACACATTTTCAACAGAAAAGTCCCCAAACTATGATACAATAATATCTTATACATGTATTTCAAGTGAAACATGACTCTTTATATTATAAAATTCCTAGTTAAAGAGCAAATTGCAACATCAATTTTCAGATTTATTGAAGATTTTTGCTGGGTACATAACGCATGTATTCGGGATCATAACTGTCGGTTACTCTCCAAGGCCCGTAACTCTTGTACTGTTTTTGATTGAATTAAGACCGTGTGTGAACTTTGATAGTTTTACATGCAGTTATAATCTTCAAAACTACTGGAGGTATCCACATGAAACATATCTAATAAGTGGAATAGTTGGAGATCACTTTCAAAAGCCTGTTACTCTTGGCATTAATGATCTGAATTCCGTACACATATAACTTTCAAACAAGATTTATTATTATTATTCTTTTAGACATGAATTTGAAGTAAATTGCCCCCTTCTTTGCTACTTATATGGCTCGTTGTGAAAATAGAAAATTATTTGACCAATATCCAAATCTCATAACTATATAATGTCTTTTTTTTTAATTAAATATTTTTCCTCTTTTACTTTCTACGTTATCCGAGGGCATATTTTACTATGATGCTCTGATAATTTGAGCCCCATTCAACTTACAGCTCTTGTCTTTATTTCGGTAACAGATTAATTAGCAAATAGGTACAAAATGCAGTAACAATAGTTGAGTTTCATGTATAAGGGTATTTTTGTCGAAACTTTGCAAAATAAAAGAAAATGATAACAGATCTCAGCAAAAAAATGTAATTTGCATTATTCAAAATGTAAATTCATTGGAACAGGAATCAGATTTTGCATTTCTTTCTCTGATTGTAACAGAACAACAAAAACACGGTTTGACATGCTTGCCCAACTAAACATTCTATTACATTCAATTGAGGACGAATAATAAAGACAAAGTAAATAATCTGGATAATATTTGACTGATGCCGTTTATTACATTTGCTTGAAATTGTATAAACTAGAGTTATGCGTAAATATTGCTAAAATACAAACAAGTTCAGAAAAATCAAATAATGTTTATCTATCACTTGTCTTTAAGGAAATTAAACACAAAAATACGAAAGTAAATCAAAAGGAAAACATATTCACGGTATATAATTGTCAGTGAAACACGGCAAATATATCAACGATAAGAGATTGTATCATAAATCAAGGAACCTGAACCGAAAAATGAAATTAACATGATTAATATAAAAATGAAAATTGCTGTTAATAACGAAAACGTAGACCTAAAAGAAGAGGAATCAGAAAGAATCTCAGGATAATGATGGTAGTGTAAATCGTCCATGTGCAAAGCAAGAGGATGTTGTTTCTGATGAAAGTTATACAGAAATTCCAAAAGCAGGAGCAGGTATTCAGATGTCATAAACACCAAGCAAATTACAGCAAGTCTCATAATTGAACTGAACCGTTTGATAAGAGTGACCTCGTCATAAATAACTGACACTAAAATAGCAATGCTTAAGTCATAAAAAAGTTAACAAAAGAAAGAAGCAGATGCCACACATTTGATTGACACGCCAAAGCACCAAGAATTACGGATAACTGTTCTCACATACATACATAGTATATAGCCGGAAATAAACATCAACATTTATCTGTAGATAATTACTCATACACAATTTCACAATTTACACAAATAAAATAAACAAAAATAATATTAAAGTGTATAAAGCTATATATCTGCTTCAGAATTATTGTTTGAATTTCACAAAAGAATACATAAAAATGGTAGATAATTGCCTTAAAAGCATGTGACGCATGCACAAAAAAGGGATAAAACCATACTTAAAATAGCAAATAATATTTTGTTCCGGAACATTTTATTCTGTTTTCATACAATATTCACGTGTAATAAATACGAGTAACAGAGATATTCTATGTAACAACTTTTTCGGCAATCAACCATATACTAATGAGACCAATATAAAATTAGATCTACTGTTGATAATATTTTTATAAAAATATTTCATTTTTGTTATTATTATTGTTATTTGTGCTCACAATTTTTTTGTCTATCGACCCGATTTTGATCAATTAATCCCTTCGATTCAAACTAGAAATAAATTCGGAGCTAAAAAGGACTTTTTTGTCGAAAGTGAGCGAAAGTGAGCGAAAATGACATTAAAATGTGAATTATAGCATTTTTATAGAATTTTACAATATAATTGCAGTTTGTAGACATATGTTATTAGAAACTAATTATATTTATTATCAAAAAGAATCATAATGATGATTTAATCGCTATTTATTTGCATACTTTCTATACACAATTTAGTATGAGATATCATGATATACCATTTGCCGCACATTTTGAAAATGTCGATTGGCTTTTCATATATTTTTACATAGGAATTTTAACATTTTTTTACTATAATAAGTTGTTGATATTTGTAGAAAATGAGTAGTATTACAGGAGAAAAAGAAAATGTATATGCTTTAATATTTTATTATCATCTTGTATTACTGACTACAGTAGTGACACACACAGAACAATGTTGCACTGCTGTCATGTCACATTACAATTCTTGTTAGTCTTGTTTGTGTTGGAATTACTTTCCTTATCAAGTAGGCATAAGTGAAAGCATTTTTGAAATTATTATCTGGCCCCTCTCTCATTGACAGTGCATAGGATAAGTATAATTATGCGAATTTAAATGATTTACAAAACATTCAGAATAATGTACAATAGTACTTAATCTAAATAGAAAATGACATGTGTGTAGGAATGATTTAGAAATGTATCTGTAATGAGTGCATTTCTTTGCGCGGAGCTCCTCAATTGATGCATTGCAGCAACATTTGTATTTGTTAGATATAGATTTATACCCTTTAAACAAAAATAAACCAGTATGTATAATCATGTTTAAATGGGCACCGAAATTCAGATAGAATCAGAAAATCGGCCTAATGGAGGGGTAAGCTAGGAGAATATGAAGACTGATCACTTGGTAATTTTTCACATCACATCATTATGAAATTTGTTTTCATCCAAAATAGATTCGTCCGTTCAAAGCTTTTTTTCATAATGCCTGTTGCAACTGTGATTTAATTATCAGTGATTAGTGACTATATCGTATTTAGTAAAACATTCATATCTTGTTTATATCAAATGCTTGATGTGTGCGCTTTAAATTGAACTATTCATACATTTTATTAAATACAACATGCCACTTGATTAAATGATAAACTTTCAAAAAAGTATGTTTCCGCTTCATTGCACATTTTCTTTCGATTTCTTTTTATAATTGCATTATCATTTAGAAATTACTTAAAATAGGGAAAGGAGATTTTATCTAATAAATTTGTCATTTTTTGCGTTCTTACATTTAACTAAACAAACTAATATAACATTAAACAACGAATGGTGAATCGAAACTTTAACTAGTTATGCTAAGTGCTCACAATATTTTCAAGTCTGCTTTCCTACAATATTGAAGCCTTATATTAAAATATTATTATGTGCATTTCAGATTACCAGTAGGGAAATTGATGATATGCATTAATAATTATTATATAATGCTACTTTTCATGGTGCGCAGTCACCAAAACATATACACTCTATCGCAAACTTGCTTCAGTAACTTTGGATATCTTCCTGGTTAAGGGTGATGATTTATAACAAAATCGAAACTACAAAAATAAAAAGAACAACAACCCATAACAGACTCTTTATTGAAACATTTGGATTTGTGCAAACATATAAAATACGATACATTATAGTACTCAAGCGTTTAAATAACCTTTTTAAGAAAATCATTCTATTTACTCAAGCTATTTAATAGCATTTCTATGTTTAACAACATGTTTTATTATCAGCGGAATGAAAAAGTTGATTTTTAATGTTTTATGACAGTAATGCTACGGAAGGGCAATTTTAAGATTTATTCTTTCAAATTTTGCCTTACTGCACGACTTGTCAGATAGTGGATTAACAGGATGAAACTTTTTCTTATGTTGATATATATCACAGGTAGGTTTTTCTCATACATAAAAACATTAAATAAAACGATTAATTAACGTTAATTTAACAGCTTTTAATTGAATGTAAATACAACTGGTACATCGAACTGATATTATAAACGTATTGAAAATTTTACAAATTATAAGTAATTACTTGAAATGATATAATATAATAATATTAATAGAATATAATAATATTATATATTGTTACATATTTTCTAAATATTTCTTCAATTAAGTAAAAAAATAATATTAGCTGTAATAGTATTCCAAATTGTTTTAACATGATTCTAACTGCTGGATATTTTTTCAATGGAAATTTAATCGAACTACATAATTATTTCCATTCTGTTGTATATTTATTTTGTAATTTGTCTAACAATACATATTGTATTTGCCTTATGGAATTTAACTCGAGAAATATATACATATGGAAAAAACTCCTTACGTTTGAACTTTTTTATGGACATTAAGAGAACGCAGGTGTAATGTAACTGCTTCGATTAAGGTGGTTAGCTTATATTCACTCATGTTGAAATGACTTATGAGGTTTTTGTTTGATTTCATTATTAAGGATAAATATTTAATAAGTGTGTAATGGAGAGTTACTTTTAAAGTAGAAATTAAAATCGGATAAAGATGTGTACATGATAAGGATGTATTTGCTAAATCTAGAGACTAAAATCTATTTATTTCGTACATGTTAATCTTATCACCACCGTGCATCCGTTCATGTTTTGCCTTCATTATGACTCGGATTTCCCGAAAAAAAAACACAATTTATGCCATGCAATAAAACCGGTTTTATAGATAGGCGTCCGTGGAAGTATAGCAAATTGTTGACTTTGTCAGAAAAAAGAAGTAAACTTTAAATGATGTTAACGTTATCCATTTTAATGGGCAATATTGTTTAGATAAGTTAGATGCAGGGTATATGGAAAACGCCGTTTGTTCTCTCGAAATCGTGAAAATTCCCTAATTAGTATTTGTTTTCCAGCGGTTAAAATTAGAAAACGCATCGCTTTCAAAATTTTGAAAGTTCGCCGATGATTGGCTGTTTGAAAACTCCCGAGGAGGTTACAGCCTATTGCTGATCGTCAGATTCTAATATGTAGCGTTATTTAAGAGCTGACTTTAATCAGATTGCCGCGAAATGTTACTTGAACATTTATAGATCAGAAAAGATAAAAGTCTTATTTATAAAGTAAATCTAGTATTGGTATTTTTGAAAGTGTTAACAGTGGAAATAAATAAGGCACTAGTAACTCGACAGTGAGTGTCTTGAATCGTGTGGATATTCGCAAAGTAGAAATATGGTTATAGTATCTTGTTTCTAAGTAAGTATTTAAAACAACAAACGTGGATATATTTTTTGTGCCTTTGGTGTTATTATTTTCAGAGCATTTATATCACGTGAAGTGTTATTCGTCAACTATTTGCTTAAGACATTACTTTGACACAAGTGATATCTGTAAAGGAAGATCTGACAGTCTTTCTTGTAGCCATGGTGACGTCATTATTATCGAAAGTATTCGTTATGCAAAAAGTGAAAAAGGATACAAGTCGTGCTCATACTGTTCAAATAAAAATTTAACATCGGATTTGGACATTAATCCAATTTTCTTCAAAAACGAAGTCTACGAGTTATGTTCTCAGGAAAATAATTGTACACTGAGTGAAACATTCAAATCACCACCGAACATTAGTCAAAATAAACGCCAAACATGGTATGCCATCCTAACATATGAATGTGTAGCTAAAGGTAAATATTTCATTTCAATCTGACACTTTTTGCCTTATCAAATCACCTTTTTGTAGATATCTCTGTTAAATCTTTTTTCTCAAAAGAGCAATATCAGCAAAAGTTTTCTTTCTTAACTAAGTGAAAAAAATCAGTTTACTATTACCGTCAATAATTTGGTTCCACAATCATAAAATGCTAATTAATAAGTTACAATGTGTAAATTTTATAGCACAACCTTTGATACAATATTTTGTCATTTTAAATTTGTGAAAAATATCTAATTAAAAATAACTCTAAGTCAATACTAGATTACTCGTCTGTATGATACATTTTAATATACAGGTTCAATACGTGACATGTGTTCATCATTTGAAGCTGTGATAAATGACAATGACACTTTACATGTCTCACTGCTTGGAAAAGATATTGCTTCGCAACACTGTGGCTGTTTTGTACATGGCACTAAAGATAATACTGCTATTAATATCGTCGATTACAGGTAATCAAATGAACATATTTGTTTAGCACCATGGTACCATCAGCGTTTCGAGGCCATGCTCATTTGTAAACGAATATGTTTAAAATGTCCTTGTCACTATGTCTTTTTGCCTTTATAATACACATGAGCTTTCAATAAATTTCTCAAAGTCTCAATATCATAATAATCATAGTAATTTATATCTTATATCAACATTCTGAATCAACATTGGGGTGTTTGAGAAGAAAACAATGACTAATTGATGTATGGAAAAAAGATAATTAAACAAGAAGATATATTAATTTTGAAAGCATAGTTTGGTTTATTTACTGCTACAATTTGTGATTTTTTAGACCTTTTGTCGTCAGAATTATTATTACAAGTACTTTCTAATAAAATAACATTTAAATCATTATTAATAGATATTCTAAATAATAGATTAATGAATATTTTTGAAGATTCAGGGGTGATGAACAGTATTTGAATTCTTTACTGCTTGTAAGGAGGCATAATGTCTGGTACAATTTTTTGAAACACACTTTTATCCAAGTAAAATAAAGTTGAAATGTCCAATTTGGAAAGTCATAGATATACTATGATGCAGATATTACCAGTAATGATACAAATTTGTTTAAATTGTAAACAGAAAAAGGTACTTTGAACATGTAACGTCGTTGTATTTAGAAAAATAACCTTGACTGTTATGTTATAGACATAATCTCTTTCATACATAGCTGCTATAATAATATAATAAAATAATCTCTTGTCATTATCATTATTACAGGCCAAATGATGACCATACTAAATGCACAGATGACACTTTATTTTACGTAAATGGCGTACGGATATTTCAATGTTTGAAAACCATTTCAAATGAAGGCACGCATATTTATAACACAGCTATAAACATAACTGGTTTTGTAACTAACATGACGGTGTCATTCAAGGAAACGCTTCCAAAGATGTTTTGGATTACAATAAAAGGTACGAATATATATTATTTACAAGTTGAAATTTAAGTTTAATTTAATAGAATATTCCCGATCAAGATGTTTACTCTCAATTTCATAAAGTCAATTCAGTATATATATCTAATAACAAATGTAAAGACTTTGGAATCATATGGTGAATAATAAGTCCACTATTAAAGTCTGTCAAGAAATAAATAAGATTTAATCAGATCTAATTTACCATTTGTTAAAACGGTTTGGTTAGACAATTTTGTTTAATTGTTATGTTTTATATTATACATTTATACCAACATAAAATTAGCTAACCATAAAATTATTTATCTTACTCTATGAATATTGTTATTTTTCAATTTGTCGATTTAATAACAATTGTAAAACATCGTAAAATTTAAGAAGCACAACTCATGTGTGGTACACATATTACTTTAATTGCATAAATACAAATAACTGCAGTTGAAAAAATCTCAAAAACCTATTAATGATCAAGAACATGATTCTGATAATATTTCCGGTTGAGCATTTGCTGGGAAAGTTAAAACCTTTGAGAAAAGACTATCTGTTATCAAAGACCACAATCTTAGATATACTCTTAATATAACCATTAGTCTGAATGAAAGTAATAAAAAAAAATCTGCTTATAAGAGCTTTATAAATCATCACAGAAATTGTATTTTCATTTGAATGTATTCTTTTTCTTTCACAAAAAGGTGCCAACGTACTAGTTCAGTGCAATATTGTAAACAGCGCCATCAGCCGATATACAAGTGTGCCAACATCTGTTGGAAATACAGACACATCACTAAACTCTCAAGAAAAAGCAAGTCATTTACCATCCGGTGGCATGGCACAAACAACTCGACACACAGAAAAGTCAGGTAAATGACGACTGCGTCTAATTGAATAACATTCGATACTTTATATATTCTGTGATTATTTTTAATTTTTACTTTATTATCTATAATATCTTCATTTATTGTTTATAATTCAACATGAACTTGTGGATATTACTTACTTTAAAATTATAACACTTTATAACGATTTATGTGATGAGAAGACATTTAAAACTCTTCTTTTTATTACATCTATAATCTTTAATATCAAAATTACTTCCTTGATTTACAGTTTCATTTATTACTATATCAATGCATGGTTAACTCATGCAGTCATACATGAGAGTAATTGAAATAGTGACGCACGTAATTTAAATACCGTGTACTTAGACCGATTTATTAAAGGATATACTTTCTGTATGAATAAGGATCGTTTTAAAACTCAAAGCGTTTTATATCTATTCCAGTCAGTTCAGAAGTATTTACAACACCAGCTATAATCGGAGCAACTGTAGCAGTTGTAACATTTATGGGTATTATTGCAGTTGTTGTTTGGCTATATCGCAGGTAACCCTAATACCATATTAGCATACTTAATTTATACGACACATATTTATTTTACTTTTTCTTTGTTTTGATTATTTCAAATCATATGAAGAAGTTTGGAAATGCCCATTAGGACAAAGAAATGCTTGATTTTTTTTCTTCAAAAGCTTTTCATTTTTGTTGCCCTGTTGATTTCTAGAGAAAAAAATAAATTAAATAAATAAATAAATAAACAACCGTTTACCTACATAGTAATACGGTTAGTATAGCTAATATTGATTTGGTATTTTAATTAATTGAAGTCAAAATACTACTAAGTTTACAGTTTGCTTCTCTTGTAAGTCAAAAAATTTCACATAAAGCACTACTGTCTAAGTGATAAGCGTCTAACATGCCCTAAAAGCATGAATTAAACAATATAAAAATTATATTTTCCATTCTTTAGAAAGAACGATTTTTTTTCTGAGGCAAAATATGCCTTTAATCAGATCTCTTGTGAAAATGTAAAGATGCCATAAGTACTTCAAGCACAAATATGTCTCCAGTTTTAAAGGCTTATTCTGCCCCAGAAATAATTTTATTTCTATTTCTCATTAGCTTTTTATATATATGTTTTTTATTTTTTGAATCCGGATATTGTTTCCAAAAATTTACTTATAGACCAAAAAGTTGAGCCATCTTTTTTTTCTGTTGTTCTTTGATTATAAGTACGGTTATGATTTAAAAACCATTATTCAAACGTTATTAAACTCATGCTTGGCCTTCTTAATGAAGGAAAATGTATTCGATTCTGAGGCAATTTGCCTTTTAGCCATTTTAACTTCAGAAAAACTTCTGTACAACAAAAACCCGAAGTTACTGAAGCTGTATACTACAATGAAGGACACATTAATGGTGAATGCAGAGACGGTGGTAAAGGTGACAACGAGAATAATCTCTCTAAAAATAAAGTTGACAATCTATACATAAATGCGCCAAGTGCACCAGGACACGATAATGTAGAGAACATAGATAATGTTTACTTAAATGAAAATATGAAAGATTCACCTATTGCTGGGTCAAACAAAGGTGAACAAACGAATGCAAGGAAAAGAGACAAAAATAAAACCAGAGAACACAATAATCAAGATACCCATTACAATGTTCTAGGAACTCCAGGGGAAGAACACACCTATTCGGAGTTAAATTGCTCTGGTGGAGACAAACATGCATATTACAATTTAGTTAAGACATAATTATCAGATGAATACGATTTATTAGTAATCTTTGACGAGAAGTTTGATAATGATACTGAGTTTTCTTTCTGACAGCTACCAGTATACTTTTCAAAATGATAACATAACTAAGGAGCGCTTATTCCAATATAAATTATGGAAATATCCAAATTAATACAACGGATAAGAGGAAACAAACGAAGATATTTATGACTTGAAATTTTAATGGAACCACATGACAACATAGTTTAATTTACAAAAAAAGCTTCTGAAATTACAATACATAGTTGAGTTTGTTTAAAAGATGCAAAAGCAAATTCAATATTCATTTGGTCGATATTTATTCCTTTCTGTGTATGTTTTTCGGATTCATCAGATTTCGTATAATCATAAATTGTTCGTGCAGAAAGAAATATTCAAATGCCTTGGTATACCATCAAAGACATGATGAGGACTAAATTTTTATTAACTTGACTGAAATTAAACTTTGTATGATCTATCAAACACACAATATGAAACTTAATATCTTAACATTTAAAAATAATACTTACGAAGTGATTTAGTACCAACTTACAAGGGTTGTAGAATATATGCTTAATATCACAATATTGCTCACTTACATTTCAATCACTTTCCTTTTGCTTCCTTATTAAATCATCGTGCCAACCTTACTGGCGGTATGGATTGTTGTATTTACAATTATTGTTATCTAGTTTCGCTTTTACAGATAAGAAAACTACTGCCATTATATCTATACAATACAAATTTCTTCTGATGATTTGAGCTTCATTGTTACATAAAGATGACATAAACTGTGAGTTGTTTACTTTTTTATATTGAAATGGTTAGAATAAATGATTTTGATCATTTTAGTTCTGCTGTAAGTTTACAGCATTCAGATATAAAAACATATAGTGAAATTTAATTAATAAGCCATTTATTTCAATGGTAGGATACTACGTCATCTCGCACCTACAAAATGCTCTAAAACGGACTGCTTTTTTCGTGTAAACATTAGTCGATTAGAAGGTAAAATATATTTTTATTTTAAGAAATTGTTAGAATATCAACAAATAATGTAGCCCACCAAAGATTTGCCTTTAATTTAGTACTGCCAATTATTAAAAAAAAAACAACAACAGAAAAACGTTCTACTGCCTAGTTAAGTCCTGAAAACGGGATAAAGTTGTTTGTTTCCTAGATGCTCTCACTCAGACTCCTAAAAAATAATCCCGTTTTCAGGCTATAACCAGACATAACTGTCATTATAACTCAGCTATATCAAAACACGAACTTGAAACACCATCTAGGCATTTTTATTTTTGAATGGGTATATGGAAATCTGTTATATATGTTACGGTTATTTAATGATATAATCTAAGCTATTGATGCTATATTTAATAATAAATGTACAAAAAATACAAGGTTTTATGTTATTTTAAATTTTCAAAAATGTACACCCTCAGTAAAAAAATACCATGCCAAAGATGTTAGCATATACAACAATGTCTGTTAATATAGATATAACAAAAACATAACACAAATAAATTCATGAAATAGTTTCCTGTTAAGTCAGAGTAAGGATAATTAAAAATGGATTGTAATCTAGCCTTTTGTCACTCAGAGTCTTGACAAATATATCCTATTATTGTCCGTGCATGATAAAAATCGAAAACTAAATTGTTGTTTTCAAAGATGATATGTTCTGTTTTTCTATATTTATTTTATACAAAAGCACGTTAAATTTGTGTTTGCTTATGCTAATTTAGAAATCTTAATACTTGTTATTCTAAGACATAATCTAAAAGCTTTAGCAATGTTTAAATTGAACGCTCAAGATTTTTATTTTGCCATGACAAGACCTTTCAATTTTCATCTGTTTTGTGTAGGATCGGAAGAACTTTATCATAGAGAACATTTGCATACATTGTATAAAGTTAACACGAGGTTAACTGTTATGATTATATTTATAATCAACAAACTACGACGACACATTAATAGCTGTTTAAAAATCTCCAACTTTTCAATTCTTCACAGCATCTGTTTATATTTTTTAACTCACAGTTTGTGTTTGTTATACATAAACGATGTATTCCCGGGTTCGGGAAGATATCGTATGCTTGATACTTTCGTTTGAAGACATACGTTGGAGTCTTGAACTTGCCTGCAATTAAATAGTAAAATTTTAAAATCAAAATTCAATTTAAAGATCAGTATTACACGGAAACAGCAACATTATAAACATTAAAAGGCAATTAAATACTGACATATTGACATATTTGTTTATTCTTTTTTTTCAATTTTTAATAGGAGATATTAAAATAAGAAATAATTCGTTATCAAAAAATGTAATTACCGTTTTTTACGTGACCCTTTGCAACACACGAAGTAACAAAGAAGAACTGAGGCAACAACAACAACAAGAGCACATCCAATAGCGATTCCTATAATCATTTCTGTAGTCATTTGTGAATCTACCTCTACACAGGTACCTGAAATCAATCAATCAATCAATCAATCAATCAATCAATCAATCAATCAATCAATCAATCAATGCTTAGTATTTTTTTCTGTCATGATTAATAAATTCTTATTCAATATAATAATTGCTTTTCCATTTAGTAATGAGAATTTACCATTCGTCCATCTGTAAAGATTTGAATCCGGGTCACAAAGTAAACAACCAACCGGTGACAAAAAGTTACGTACTACACAAATCCCGTCGATAAAGCAGTAGCCATCCTATTGGAGAAATAAAATAAAATTTTACCGCAAGAAAACGTCAAGTTGAAGCTATTGAAACAGTAAAGTACTGCAGACTAGTATCTATTGTGTTTGCTCAAGTGTAAATGCAATCAGTATTAAAAAGGCCAACGGCTTTAAAATTGATGCTCATAAGATCGAACACGCTAAGGTTAAGTAAGTAATGGAAAGTATAAACTGACATGACAAAGGCATAATATATTTCACTGACATATAATGTTTAAATGGCCGAGTATTGTTAATTTCAAATTAACGTATTGTTGACTATAACATAATCATGCGTGTTTTTTCTGTTATGAGGATCTCTTGAATACTGACTTGATAAAACACAAATTTCACTATATCAAATAAAAAGCCTATAAAACATCACCTTCAGTTCAATCATGATATTCCCTTGACTTGTACTTTGTGTCAAGCATGTAGTATCATAGACAAAGACGGTGTTGATTTCACCATAGGCAGCACCATCATTGCTGACAGAAATGTCATACGAGATAACAAAAGGATCATCATCGTTGATTTCTTCAGATCGCCTTTTTCTACTTTCAGGTGCGCAACACTCGCCAGTGAAGATATCCTCATAGTAACCAGCATGAATAGATTGTTCCATCTTAACTCGAGTACCATTGAGATATTCCTTTATATATAATGAAAAAAATCTGGTGACACAATACATTAAATCCTGTGTATAGTCATTTTTATGATTTCATGATGTACACTGTTTTTTCAAAGCTCAATTTGCAAAGGACGCTCTGTTGTTATATATGATAAAATGATCAATAAGATTAAAAAAAAATCTATCAGGTTATATATTCACCTGTGAGAAAAGCGTTGAAAAATAGAAAACAAACCCTATGTTTACTTATATCACACATGAAACCATCAAACATGTTGTCAGATCGGATTTCGAAGCAAGTACAGTCATCCTCTTCTGACAATTCACAGATTCCATTTCCTTCTATACCATAAACTACAGGAGGTATTCTTATGTCATCACTACAGTCTGGTCCACGGAATGTTCCATGGCATTCACACACTCCTAAATCAAAAAGGAAACAACTGATATGAAAACATTATACTTCAAAAATAATATATACTCTATCTTTAGGAATATGTTCGCCAAACTGTTTAAATTCAAAATATTCGAAAAACAAATACATGATGAATCAATTAAATAATCTCACACCCCTCTTGATAATAAAAGTTAAAAAACAACAAGAGGAAATGGAGTCATACACAAAGGAAATAAAAGATGAAATAATAAACATGGAAATATCAATTAAACGTATGTTTAAATTTAATAAATGTTTTAAAATATAATGTTAAACATGCAATGAATTAAAACTGCCTGCTCAGTTTAATTAAATTAGCATTTTATGAAACATGATAGTGTAAGTAAAGCAATTGATAAGCTTTTCATATAACTAATTTTAAGTCTTTGGTGAAAAAAAACATTATACCTGTCTTTAGGCATTCACCATTTCCACTACAATTGTTCAAACAAATTTGCAAACGAAAGCTGTTAACCTTGTCTGTATTATTTGCAACAAATACAGGATTGAGGTTTAGAACAGTGTCTGCGACATTGTTTACATTAGTGACATGTGCATCAACCCAGCCTGTGTCGTTCCCATGCTAAAATGTATAAATACATATCTTGTTTTGATTTGTAATGTACTTACGGTTTTGTATGTATCATAGCTAATTGTTCAGTTGAATTATCTTGTAAAGAAAGAAGACATTAAATTTTTTTTCACATAATGCTGGTTAAGTATGACTTGACTGCAATGTAATCAAATATTACTTCTGTAAAACCCTATATTAAATTGAAGCAAATACTGATGTAATCAACTCACAGTCAAATCATAAACACATTGTTCAACAATTATATCCGGGTCTTCTTCGGCAAGGTAGTCTGGAAACTCCATAACTGCTGGAGTATTATAAATGGAGCTGTTACACAGTGCAAATGCTTCTTCTTCTGTGAAACTGTCTGTGCTCCTCTGGTAAATGTTTACAAGAAAAAGATTAGAAGAATAATTGATATGCACATATGATGAAAGGAGTTTGATATTTTTGTACAATTTCTGTACGAGGGATATGATCAAAGGTGGTAAGAACAATAAGTTATGCCTTAAGAACAACCAAAATCGTACAATTATATACATTTCAGGTTCTGTGTGATTGAGCCTGTTCATGGACGGCAGTTGTAAATACAGTCTACTTTCTAAGCGTCTTCTAGCACAAAACTTAGCAGATATAAGAATACAATGTGTTTAGAATTTATAAAAGCTAAACGCATGAATAATTTATCAAATTTGTATGATCATGTATAGCTTAGTAATTTACTTTACTTACTCTTTCTCGGGATACAGACTCCCGGCTCCTATGTTTGTGCTGTACGGGAATTTGAGTTTCTCGCCTATTTCTACGATTAATCTTACATTTCCTCTTTGTTATAGAGTTAGGTCTGCTACAAGGCTGGTCTGCCATCCCGTTCGTTTGTGTGTTCCATGGCGTCAGCAAGCGTGCATCATTTTTAAACAAGTTTTCTTCATCCGACAATCTGATGCATTAAAAAGATCAAAGTTCCCATATTTACGACGTAGATAAGAAAGTAGAGAAAAACGGAGCACAAAACGGCAGAGTTAAAAATTTTGCAAGACCAGTTGCTTGTATGTATAACTAGAGCTGCAAGTTTGGTTTTAATTTGATTTAATTGTTGTGAAGTTTATATCATTTTTTATACACAGATGCTAGCAATGTATGAAGTAAAAATTGTCGATTCACTTCAAATATAGTTTTCTGCTGTATAGCAAATTCGTTATAAAGTTGTTAACCTTTTTACCCCATGAGCATATTGCGAAAAATGGCCGTTGTCATTGAAAAACCTTACAATTTCAAACTGCTATGAAACTATACAAAATGCTTAAATACTAATGAAACTTTGCACAAATGTTGACTAGACCAAAGCCTGTGTAACAGCATGCTCAATTTTAAATTTTATGTAACCATGGCAACGGAGGACGTCACAAAATTGCCAAAAATCACTATTTTGCATTGTTTTTTCCATCAAAACTGATTTCAAAGTGCTGCAACTTCTCAATGAATTGAGATAGAGTAAAAGGCTTTTCAGCGTCGGTTTCTAGTTACCCTAATATCGACCTAAGGCCATTTTTAGCCTGTCACATGTCCAAACAGATGGGGGCACATCCCCTTCTGGCAACCCCCTGATGTTACATTTGGATGGGGGACGGCGCCGAAAAAGTGGTCACTTTTATTTAACAATATATCCAAACGAAAAACAGTGCCTAAAAAAAGGGGATGGGGGGGGGGGAAAAAGCCGTCGAAAACACGCTTATATAAGGGAAAAGGTTAAACGGTGGTTTGTAATATAAAACTCGCATAGCGGCCCGGATTATGTCAGCTCACAACCGTTGATACCTGCCAATACAACAATAAAATAATATTATATTATTCATGAAAATAATTGTGGGTCCTTACTTTTAAAAGAACGCACAGGAAGGTTAATTCATAATTTTCCTTAGAAAACTTTAAAACGCCGACGAAAAAGACTAGACTACTTCTACTTTCGCCAACTTTTTTTCCGAGCATTGATAAAACTTAGGTTTTATCCTTGTGTTCTTTGACGGATTTACAGATTTTATATTCTAAAATATCTTTTCTTTCTAGGAAAAGGTAAATATACTCTTATAATGCTCTGTTATTTATTTTCAAATAATTCATCAGAACGATTGCAACAAGAGCTATCGGTAGAACAGAAACGCTCGACTATTCATAGTTCTTGATAGTAAAAGAGCCGTGATAATGTAAAATTTTCTGAGTAAATAACTAAAGGACAAAATTTTCATAGCTTCTATACTTTAGGAGAAATGGCCCGGACAAAAATAAAGTATGAAAAATAACAAAGGGCAATAACTCAAAAAATAAGAAATGCAGAGTACAGGTTCTTGTGCACTGCACTTCTTCTTAATGAGATCTATCATCCTATGAAGTTTCAAGTCCATACCTTTTATACTTTAGGAGAAATGGTCCGGACAAAAATAAAGTATGAACATTAACAAAGGGCAATAACTCAAAAATTAAGAAGTGCAAAGTACCGGTTCTTGTGCACTAAGAAGCATGCATACCAAGTTTGAAGTCAATACGACTTATAATGACTGACTTATGCTCCGGACAAGCTTACGGGGACACCGACGCCGGCACGGACGCCGACAACGACAACGACGCCGATAAAAGCAACCCCTATATGTCGCCTTTTTCAAGGCGACACAAAAAAGGGCATTATCTGTCAAAATGCCTGATAAAATTACCGCCTCCTGTATACAGGTTGGGGTTATAATGGTGAACAAGTGTGCAAAGTTTCAAAGCCATATGTCAATGGACTTTGAAAATATTTGAGGTATTATAAAATCTTCAACGTTAATTCAAAGACGAAAAAGGGGCATAATTCTGTTAAAGTGCTTGATACAGTTACCTCCTCCTGTCTACAGGTTGGGGTCATGATGGTGCAACAAGTGTGCAAAGTTTCAAACCCATATGTCTATGGATTTTGAAAATATTTGAGGTATTACAAAAACTTAAACATAAATTTAAGTCGAAAAGGGGGCATAATTCTGTCAAAAAGCTTGATACAATTACCTCCTCCTGTTTACGGGTTGGGGTCATGATGGTGAACAAGCGCGTGCAAAGTTTCTAAGCCATATGTCAATGGACTTTGAAAATATTTGAGGTATTACAAAAACTTTAGCATAAGTGGTTACGCCGACACCGACGCCGACGCTCGGGTGAGTACAATAGATTTACTTATTTTTATCGAAAATGCATTTTTAAGCTATTCAAAAATTATAAAATAAAGTAAATTTATTGTTAGGTAGGGTTATTGACTTCGAACCATTTGCCCCGTACCAATGCGGGTTAAAATCCGCAAATGACTTTGGATTTGTTTGTTTAAGGAAGATATTCAGATACAATGTACATGCATGAAAAGCTGTTGGGTTTACCCCGTTCGTATAGAGGTGCGTCTGAGGACATTTTCTAAAAATCAATAAAGCTGGAAAGTCACATGACTTTAAAATGCCTGTGTGAATAAAAAACCCAAAAGTAAAACATTAAGCAATAAAAAGCAATAATAAACTTAGGTAAACACATAACTTTGTTAATGACTTTAGAACAGTCAAGTTAACTTTTGCAAAATTTAGATACATTAAAGCAACCATTCATTAAATACAAAGCCTATTACCTAAAAGAAGAACACTGAATCCTTAAGGAATGTCCCGAAACGGGAAAAATGAAAACAAAAAAGACGAAACAAATATATGAAAAATGCCCCGACGTTCGAAAAAAGGCCCTAGTTTGTAAATCATCATTTAAAAGTATCTGTTAATAAAACACCTGTTTAAACACAAAATATTCCATTTAAAATTAATAATTCTTTTTCTCAACGTTGCAACATCAACTGAACTGAGAACTTTTTAAAAATTAATATTCTTACCTCCAACTATCTGCGAATCGATAGCTCCGATTATTGTCATTTGAAATGGTTTTGTTATCTCTGTGAAGAAGGTCATTGCTTCTGTCGCCATCAAATGTTCCACATAAGCCATCAACATTGCCGTAATCTTTAGCAGACATGTATATGTCAATGTTCATTGTGTTACTCCATCCATGAAATGCTATGTCGATAATGGTACCTATTGGTGTTCTGACCTATATATTTAACCGAAATTAATGTAAATAAAGAAATGAAATTTATATCTAAGTTATGTTACTTAAACAATGTATTCAAGATTAATATGGTTTTGTAAATTTAAAGATCCGAATGTTTCCATAAAAAGTTGTGTATGTGAAAAACTATCTTACTTTACTAGTGACTCGACTATTTGTGATGAGATAAGGGGATAAGATAAAAATAAGAAAACTATTAAACATTTCGATTTTTATCCGGCCGGAAAAAAAAAATAATTTTATGTTAAATAGAAGTAACAAGAGCCCGGTTGAGCCGGGTGATGCTCCCCGAATAGGTTTTGGACACAGGAAAGTACACTTCTTGTAGTTTCAGAGTTATGCTCCTGGAAAAAGTTCAAAGTGCAATAATTCCCAAATTAGGCAAGGCAGAGTAACTGTTCTTTGCACTGCACTTCTAATCAATGCGATCTATCAACCTACAAACTTTCTTGTTGATATCTCTTATTGTTTCCCGGACAAGTTTAAAATGTGAAAATGAACAAAGGGCAATTACTACAAAATTTGGCAAGGCAGAGTTCAAGTTCTTGTGCACTGCACATCTACCCATTGAGATACATCTACCTACAAAGTTTCAAGTTGATATCTTGTAGTTTTAGAGTAATTTCCGAGACAAAGTTCAAAAGTAAAAATAAACAAAGGGCAATAACTCCAGAATTAGGCAAGGCAGAGTTATGATTCTTGTGCACTGCATATCTACCCATTGAGATATATTCACCTACAGAGTTTCATGTTGATATCTCTTATAGTTTTAGAGTTATGTCCCGGACAATATTTTTCTATAAGGGGAAATAATTAAAAAACCGGGCAAAATAGAGTTATGGTTCTTTGACACTGCACTCCCCCTCAATGCCCTCTACCACTGTATGAAGTTTAAACAAATTATCTCCAACGGTTTTCAAGTTATGCTCCGGACAAGACAACGGACGGACGGACAGACGGACAAGGCGTCGACTATATGCTCCCCCGAAATTTTTCGGGGAGCATAAAAAAGTAACTTGCTGACGTTGCCTTCCCAGAAACATTTGCTGTATCAGGAAAAGCACTTGATTATGTATGTGTAGATACGGATTAAACTAAAAACATATCGAAACTATGGATTTCAGTCAGCGAGATGAGTGTGTTTGTTTTATGTAAAAAAAACTGTTTACTTAACAGTGAACTAAACTGAAAGCCAGAATGTGGCCTTATCAACTTCAGTGTTGTTAAGTAGCTTCTATATATGTATGTGTGTAATAAGAGATTAATACACGGCAGAGTAGGACCGGAAGGTGATAATCGGCCCGCAAAATAAATAATGGCCCGAGGGCTTCAGCCCGAGGGCATTATTCATTTCAGGGCCGATTATCACCTTCTGGCACAACTATGACTTGTATTATTGTATTTAATACAGTTGGTAGATCTAATAATAGCATTTGTATTAAACAAATACTTTGATATTTATACGTTCAAATTCCTGTCTTTACTTCTACTGTACAGTTACTTCTACAGAGTTGTTTACTCTTTATGTGTACAAAGTACACTAGAAATTAGAAGCAAACTTGTATTATTTTCTTTTTTTTTTTCGGAATGAATTTGTCGTATTATTTAATTAAATTTCAATAGTTAAAAGACTGTGTTTGTACGAAATACGCTTAAGCTCTCATAATAAAATCAAGCGATTCGTGCTAAAAACCTACTTTCATTTTACAGTTAACAGTTTGATGACGTAAAATCTGACGACATTGTTTCAGTTTGTTTCAGTTCTCGGCCCCGGGCCGCAAAGCCCCGGGCCGCAAAGTCATAATAGGTCACGTGACACTTATAATCAGTTAAATCACGGGCAATTTTCTTACTATATATAGTAACAAGTGTATTAATCTTGGATAAAAATACCTTAATTAATGTTCTTCAGTTTTTTTAATAATGGAATTCATTTTACTTACACGTATTGTAGATTTCTAAAATTAATACAGACCTTGTAATGGTGGGGATGCATTTCGTCGATATCAATAAGTCCACCTTCATTACATATTAAGTCGAATTTGAATATGGTGTTGTAACATTTGTTAAAGATGAAAGTATCAGCTCCAACAGCTATTGCTATTCCACATGCACATACAGGTCCGCTGTTTGATCCAGGGGAACAATACTGAGCTGACTGTTGAACCTGAAAACATGAAATTTATTCTATTATTTATCAAAGCTTAATTATTTCATGCTAAGTATGTATATTTTTCCCCATTTCATTAAGTTTACCTTTTGTATTATAGAAATTGTTTTAGCATTGTCTTTTCAAAACACTATGATTGAAAGGAAAAAGAATGTTTCAAAAGTAGTGATCATAAGGTTACATGCTTTGCTTTGTACATTATAACCATCATTTAATCAGTGTTGTTTCTTTATCAGGTATCGGTGTAATGAATGATTCCTTTTCTGCCGAAAATACATGACACGTTGTTCAAGTTATTGTTTCATAAACTCCACTGCAAAAACTTTAAACAAAAGACTAAAAGCATTAAGCTATGTGGAAAGTTACAACCTCTGTTTGGTATCTTTTATTCCTGTATAATGTATAATTTCCTTCCTCCTGAGCTTCATAATACCTGAAAAATAGATAAGTGAAATATTGGTTTTGTTTGTTTATTTATTTGGTTTACGGTACATCAACACGATATTTGTCAATTGGTGTCGAAACAGGAAAAATGATTTTGGCTAACCTCGGGTGTTATAAACTTAAAATTAACACCAGGTTCAAAGCAACCTCGCTTGCTGAAGGTTACTGATGCACATAACCCATTTTATCGGCAGGGATACACTGTGGCTGCAATTCTTATGTCCTAACCATTAAAAGCATCAACTCAATCACAAGGAAATCTTGCTTTTGTAAAAAGTTAAACACACATATATTATAACACGATTGTGACGCATCATTTTTAAATTCATTAAAATCATTTGAAAATATGTTCACCTTAAATACTATCATTATATCATACTTACATTATAAGTTTTGGTAAAACTGACATTCCATTCCCTGTAACCTTTCAAATTTCGTTTTTGCTTTAAATAGACATATGTTCTTGAACAAACTTTTTTAATGATATCATGCTTAAATAAACACAGGAAATATCACGAGGGGAGTTCAGTAAGAACGTAAAACTTTCCTAATAGCAGCATATGCCTTTATGATAAATGTCGTCTGTTTGGTTCCTAAACGAAATTTCTGTAGTTTCCTTGAACTCTTTATTTTCCTCGATCCACGCAAAGGGGTCTTTAAATTCGAAACAGATAATAATCACTTCGGGCCAGGTCTGGAATGAATGGCGGATGACTTTATTGCTCAAACTTACAAATGGCCGTTTGTACAACTCTGGACATGTGCACTGGGACATTGAGAAAAGGACACTGTGTGCTAGCTTCACCCTTCGTTTTTGATATTAATGATATTAGCATAGTATTCACCTGTAATTGAAAAACATGTATGCTTGCAAGCTGTTCATATGATACCTTTTGATTCCCAATAAAACCGTTGCCATTACTTTGTCGGCTAATGGTTCGGGATAGTTCTTAAAGCCATTTGGGACTGACTAGTCTTAATGTTCCGTCTTCTGCCTTGCTTCGTCGGGCCCTTGTAGGTGATTTTCTTGTTGCTCTGTCTTCCTTTAGGACATTGAGTACTTTTGTTATAGTCATTGGGTTTACTTTTATATGTTTCTACATTATCATTTTGGTGTTTTACTTATTTAACCTTGTTTTGTAACCATAACAACTGTTAGAATTTCACTTAGCGAGGATTCATTTTATTTACACTGTCTCGTTTATAGGAACATGGTGGTGCTAAGAGCGAGGTTTGGTGCACCATTAACCGGTTCAAACTCCCCAGCAGTCATTATTATGCTGCTGACCGTTCCAAGGCGGTGCCCCTCTGTGTTCCTCAGATGTATGTCTATGTTGTTTCATACTGTTTTGGTGACACTTTTGCTTGTGTCCCTTGTTGTTTTCTCGTCTACGGTAAGTATCTTCCCCATTGCCCCAAGTTTTTATTTCTTTGATTACCCCCCTTCCCCCGGTCTCCTGTCCCCTTCCCTTTTGTGGGCCTATTATTTATTTAATCATTTATTTGTTTTCTTTGAATTCCTAATCAGTTACAAATTATTTATCATTTAGTGATTAACCTGTCCGTGCTCTGTCTTTGCCCTGTCCTGTTTTTGTTTTGGTTCTGTCTGGGCTCCTTGCCATTGGTTTTTGTTGATGGGTCATATGGGGGTTGCGTTCATTGAACGCCGTCTTTCCTTGTTGATCTTGTTTATATTTTAGGTGAGGGTAAACCAGTGCGCTCCCATTGTATGGCCTCTGTATTACATAGGTTCCAGTGGTGAAACAAAGTTTCATCTCCTGTTACAAGACTATTATGAAAGTCTGGGATTACACACTTGTAAAAGCTCCTGACCTGACACTATCCTCTGATCTTTTATGTTCAGGTATCTTGATACCATCCTAGCAGATGTTTTTGATATGCCAAAAGATTGTTCATAGATTAAAGTGTAATAAATTCTGGTAAATTCTGAAGCAAGTTTGGCAACTTTGATTGGACGATCATTGAGCAGTCTATCATCTCCTAGCTGGTGAAATCAGGAGAACAACCTGGCTCAAGATAATCATATTCTAAGATGTCTCAACCACGATTAATTTATAGTGACCATTTTGCCACTGTGAAATACTTTTGGCTACTATCACCATACATTTCAGTCATGCGGCGATGGATTTCTTTGGTGTTATACATTAGTTATGAGCCTCATGACTTCTGTTGACTACTGTTTAGACCAATGAGATTACAGATATATTTAGATCATATAATAAAGAAAAATATCGAGTTCTACGGACTTTAACTCTCATTGTTTTGTAAAACATTATAAATATACATGTATATTTTCTTACAATCCGTCTACTGTTCTCATATGTGGATCGACGTGTGAGTAACATCTTTTGTTCCGATGTCTGTCATTGTCTGTTACTGTGACCTGAAATTACATAAAAATACATTATACTAAAGACAATTGTAAAATACTTACATATGTTCTGGTGTAATCCAGTATTCCTACTTGAATACTATACTATCACCCTTAGGATATGTTATTTGTCTTTTGACAACTTGTCTTTGATATACAGGCTTCATTACCACAGTTCTTCTTTTAAAATTCCTTTTTATTTAGTTTCACCCATTGTTTTTCTCGTTTAGCACACACACAGCCTTTATTTGGCGACCATACGCCGCTTGTCATGGTATGACATGACCATGTCGCATTGAAGGTTCCATTATAACCGCCGTATGAACACATCTGCGCGTAATGTTTCTAAATTCAAAATTTCACAATTTTCACGTTTAAATGTTAGATTCTACTTAAGCTGGGGGCGTGGATGGTACCTTGCATTTTCTAGTACTGAACATGAACAGGCTCAATCACACCGAGTCTGCAACATTTTTTCAGTTCACTCGTTGTGGGCGTTCTGTAGGAATTCTGTTTTCAGATTTCAGATTTTTCTCTATTTTATTGCATAATATAATAAGACCATAAGGACCTCCTTTTAAAGAAATGATGAAAGTGTTAAATGAAATTTAAATCCCTAAGCATTCTATGGTCGTCTTAATGTTAAACAACTGATGCCATTTAAAATTAAATCAAATTCACTCACATGAATGGCTCCTATAGTCTGAAACAAAAGAAAAACATTAAAAGAAAATATAGTTCTCACCTATATGACACATGTACTAGTTTTTACACAAATAAACCCATCTATAAATATTGTAATAAAATAGTGATATGAAAGCCTTTAAATACATTATTAAACATTCAAAATTTTGTTTAGGTTTATTTTAAAACAGTACCATCTCTTTGCAATCATGAAATAAACTCAAGGAAGGGAATTAACTATACCTCTGATCTGACTGATCTTCGTTTGTCATGACCAGTGGTGTCTGTTACATATACTTGTAGGTCGAAGTCTGTTGCATCGTCATATGTGCTGTCAGCAGTTGTCAACATTATCCTATGTGTGGTACTTGTCCATTGTTCATCTTTCTTTAAACTCTGTACAAAAGTGTTATCTTTAAATGAATACTCAAAATGTTTGTGTCATTTTATAAAGGATGTTATCGTTAGTACACGTTTGCACAGACGCGTTCTTACAACAATATTCATATTTTATCCATGGGATTGAGCAGTCCCTGCGAGGAGAATAAAATAAAATTCAAACGGTTCCAAATCAACAATTAAACTAGAATGTATTAAACACTCTAAAATAAGTAAAAATAGGTATACCAATACTCAAAAAAGTTCCCGGAGACGGATATAACCTCATGGTTTATTATAAAGACATATAATCTCGCACAATATGTCATATAACACCTACGTATTTGCAACGATTATATCAAATGTTTGTAAATAGCTTAAATGGTTAAAAGGTGATCTATAAAGTATTCAATAATGTTTCAAAAGGTTTTAACAGACATCGACAATTTTGATTTACAACATTGTAAAATCTTTTGATAATTTTCTAAACAAAACAATCTATTAAAATTCTTGCTTAAGTTTATTATAAAAATGATAAAACATTTATATACCTCGTTTGCATTGAATATTTAAAGTAAACATGCTATTCAATGCAAATATATAGATTATCTACACTCATTAGACAATACAGATGTATGATGAAACACAAATATCTACTACAACAATAATGCACAAGGGCCGTTAGTCCTTCGCATGAAAATTATTGCCTTAATTAGATAATTACAGTTGTGTAATATAAAGATTATGGTAATTATGCAAGCAATGTCTGTTTAAGTCTGGAACCTTTTTAGGATCATATCAAATGTTTTGTTGTAATACAATTGAAAGTAATCTTACATGAGGTAAAGACGACTCCACAGACATCTTAACCTCAATAACCTCAACCCTTTTTCAAGTTTATTTAAGTTATCTGAATAGAGACCACTTACACGTGTGGTTGAAAAATCAAGGTTCAAAAAGAGAAAACAGTAGCAAAATCTTATAACACCTTGCAGCATTATTAACCTTGAACCCGGTGAATGACAGGCGTCCATGAAAATGCGTCATAAGTAAATTTCCAAGACCCACAAAATCCTCAAAAAACAAAAGTTGTTTCCAATGATTGCAAATAAATATTTTTTTCTTAAATCTTTTTAAGGTCCAGAAATACAAATTTTAAACATGTGTGTTTTTCCCTTAATGTATATTTGTCCATATAAGAACATTAAAAACCATCCGAAACAATCATAGACATGACATTGAGATCAATTGTGTCAATGAAATATCTATTCCAGGCAATATGATAGTGCCGTTGTGTTCAAATATAAGCAAAATTCAATAATTTATTTCTAAGTTCATATTTTGATAACAAGGTTATAGCCATTTTATTAAAGATCAACCATTTGACATAAAATGAAATTTTAGCGCTCTTAAAGGATTCTGTTTTCTGTATTTTGTTAGGTTATACTGAAATTTCTGTTTTTATTAAAAATAAAATAAAAAGTGAAAATACATGTACTACTTTTCGGACACAAACAATAACGCAAGCACGAGCGGAAGGATGATAGACAATGTGCGATTATAAAACGTTTACTTTTAAACTTAAAATAATATAAAAAAATTAATATTTTTTCTTAAAACGAAAGGAAAATGGTGACATCATACAAAGGCTTTTATTATATATTTGCAATGATCATTTGTTGAATGCAAGTGAACTAACTGTCCTGAATTTACCATTTGATATGAGGCTTAGTTCTAGTACAGCGATTTCATAATAGTTACATATGTTTAAACAAAATGTGTATTATCAATTGTTAAAGCATATGTAATATTTCAATTAACGCAGTCAAATGCTAAATGTTTAATGCAAATAATAATGATATCATATAGTCACACAGATCCCTAAATTGCGTTCAGCCGTGTTTTGTAAACGGACTCCATTTTCTAAGGTTTTAACGGTAACAATAACTATCCTTAACCTTAACCTTAAATGTTTCAGTGCTCAGTATTTTTATAGAATTATTGATTTGTTTATTTGAACATTCTCTCGCTGGAACGCTTCTGTCTGAAATTGAAAGTATTTGCGTGCTCTAACAAACAATTCAAATACAACACGTGGATGTAATATAATGGGTTGACAGATTATTTGTAATAATTGCATTATGCCTCTATTGTTTTCAAAACGCACGATTTATGAAAATTAAATGAAGATGTTCAATTAGGTTGGTGCTTAGATGTTATGTGTTGTGGTAAGAAGCTTGCATTGGTTACATTTGTCCGTGAACAATCTCAATCAATATATCACTTTTTAATTTGAACACAATAAACATATTTACTGTTTTAAATGAATTTGACTTACGCCCATGTATCATTTTGACAAATATATTTATAGGCTACACTGTAATAAATTAATATTTTCAAAGAGTTTTTTTATTTTTGTTTTTTATTTCATTCTTTTTTTGGGGGGGGGGGGGAGGGGGGTCGTTATAGGAACACAGTATAGTTTATAAGGCTTTTTTCCAGCTTTAATGATGGAAGAACACCTCAGGTGCCCATCTGTACATTATTTCAATCACAAACGAAAACCTGACTAGAACCACCGGCGTTCCGTAGGTTTCTCATATGATCAGTTTGCCTCAGAAACATAAACCTGTATTTTAAACATGGAAATGAACCCGTTTTGCTTGTTCCTTTAGGAGAATTTCCCCATCTTTAAATACAAGCAGACATGTAATGGTAAAAGACATTTGAAACCGTTATGTTTATTTCAAAGCATCAGAATCATCACTTCGTCAAATACGTACATTGTGTATATATGAAGATATATGTGAAATATGTGTAATACATATTTAAATGTTACCTTTATTTTAACAAAAGGATTACCCACATCAGCGATGTTTTGTACACGAAGTTTTCCTGTACACATATCAGGTACAGAAGATTCATCTTCAAAAGTAATTCTTTCTTCACAATTTGGTTCTTCGTCATCAGTGTAATAGCAGCCTTTAGGAATTGTCTGCTCGATATCAACAGTAGCAGAACCGCTTTTGCTCAGTGTAATGGAATCGTCCTTTACCTGTAAGAAAGACAAAACATGTTGCCTTTTCGATGATTATAGAAAATGTTGTTGATGCTATTGTTTCTGTTGGTGTGTTTATGTTATGGATGAATCATGACATATTTTTATAAGTTTAAGCCAAATTTTTACTTCTTTTGTCCCGCGTAAAGGCTATAATGTTTTCAGGACTCTTTTCCATCCACGTGATCAACACTGTACCTGGGGACCAAAAAATACATCAAAAAAAAGGGTTTTTTGGGAAAAAACCAGTAACAGTCATTTATATTAGTTTTTTTCTAAAAAAATAGAATCAATTTAACAAGGGGTTGGAGCAATGATCTTTTTTTTTATTTAAATCACTTGGGAATATTAAGGGCTTACCAGCACTCATTGTTCTGAAATAAGCACGCGCCCTTTTGACCTAACCCCCGTAAATCTTAAAAATCAAAAATAGTTTTATATTTGTGTCTGGATAAAGCTATAATCTCTACAAAATTCTAATACATTTGACGTATAAGGCAGTGAAATAAATATTCAACTGATTAATGAAGATATTAAGAGGTTATTCTTAAAATGTTGATTAATTTCCGACTCAATTGTCTATATAGTTAAGTGAGTGTTAGATGATTTAAAAACATGTATTGAAACATCAAATGAGTTTATGTAATGTAATAACCAAGTTACCTCATACCCAGGTCCAAGAGCCGATAAGAAATCTTCCTTAAATAAAAGTTCGTCCTGATTTGAAGAGGGTCCCATCTGAACTTGGAATGTACCATTTATGTACCTAAAAAAAGAAAGATACCCTGAAAGAACGTTTATGCGTATAATCAACATTATTTGTATATGTATATAATAAAATGTAATCTCTAAATAAATGGCACATGAGTGTAGATGACAATCAGTAAAATATAAGGTTTTATCCGTGAAATAAGAACCATGACAGTTGTCACTCACTGTGAGTGATTCCCGAATTTCTTATTGGCTATGATTCCGTAAATTCGTAAATACGTGAAAAGGTTATGGTTGCGTTTTGTTCTTTATACTATCCATAGTTAAATGAAACGCCCCAGTAACTATTATATTTGTTTGCACTGTGTAACGTCGCAGAGAGCTCTCGGCGAATAAAGATATGGGGAGAGTTTTGTCTGTTGCACTGTAGTATATATAGCTCTTCGTCAGCTGTATATTTGCAGTACAAACGAATAAAGCTTCGGGATACAACATTCATTTGATTGAAATAACAAAATAAGCATGTCATTCCATATTCTGTAGAGTCTAAAAAGTTTTTTTATGTCAATTTTGTGTATTTTAGGTAATTACAAATTACGATATCATGCAATATTTATATGGGGATAGATTATTTGTTCAGAAACAATCTTTAAGGTGAATTTTAAGGAGATAATACGAAAGAAAATGAAAGAGTAACTTTATTTACCATTTTGTGATATACGTTACCCCATCAAGTATGTCAGATTCACATCTATATTGCAGAAAGGGACTATAAACTTTACGTAATTTGCCGTTGTCTTCAGTATTCAGGATTTTATGACCAATTTCGGGCTTGACTTTCACATTGTTCCGATGCACTGTAACGAATCATACAAAGTAATAGAGGTTCAATGTTGTGACATTATGCTTATGTTTTCATTGTCAAATTGAGCTGAATTGAGTACATATTTCAACAGATTGACTGCTCTGATAGTGATTGAACAGCAATTTCTACTTGGAAAAGTTTAGGATAAGATATAAATATGCCTTATATATAAAAAGACTGTCCCAATTTTGTTTTTATAAAATGAACATTACAGGTAAATACCGTTGGATATTTTCAGATTGTTTAATATTGGATTTAAAATATTTTTAGATAAGCTAACAAGTAAATATTCAACTCAATCACACTTTTTCTATCCTACTAAAACAAATAGATAGCTTAAATTTGATATGGATTTAAAATAAAAATTTTTTTTTTCGAAATCTAATTTATGGCCAGCAAAAATCTTTTAATATTTTGTATCTTTTTATGATTTTACAAAAAATTATGCTCTACCTAAGCATAAAAAATCACTCCAAGTTGCGAAATAAGAGAAATCAAATTGAAGTTGTCCGTTGCACAATCTGGTATAAATGTATATGTCAGAACAGGTGTTCGTTTCATAATCACCATATTTTTCATGAACCCAGCACATCGACAGTCTCACTGGTGTTTCACTAAGCACATTTGGAAATGGCTCTGCAATAATAAATCAAAGCATTGAATGTACTGATGGGGAGGCTATGACAGAATGTTTCAGACTTATAGTTTCTTTTCTTTTTGCTTAAAATGTGCTGTTAAATAAGAAGATATGCACATTGCGCCATTTATCGTTCAACCATTCATATATATGGTTAATATGGTTGACTATTCATTTTGTTAATATTCCAGAACATTTCATTGAGGTGTACATTCGGATTGTTAATCATGCAAATTTTGAAAAACCTAAAAACCATTCATAAATGACATACCAGCAGGTATGACGACTGTTCATTATAATATCATAATACCATTTTACAACTTACGGTTCCTTATCAAAATATTCTAGGACTGTTCATCATAAATACTTTATGTCATTTTAATATCATTGAATGATAATAACAACTGCAAGTTAAGCAACATTTTAATTGAACATAAAAATTATACATATTTACATGTACCATAATTGAGATCAATAAGACACTGTCTTGTGATGAGTATTAATATTCATTCTCTATGGACAGAAAGTTGTCTTCTCCCGAAGCAAATCTCGAATTAAATCACGTTTCAGAAAATTATTCCCATTTCATTACTCGTCGCTGACTTTGACGGCTTCGGATAATATTAAAGCTAAATATTTCTTGAAAAAATACATATCTGCAAAGCTTATTCAAAATTGAATCAACCTAAGTGAAAATTGATCAGGAAGTTATATTCTTTTTTTTACCGCCAACACTCAACCAACTTATGGTAGTTTAATCGATAGATTTTAAACCTCGCTAGCTTGAAAATATATACTGCGGAAAATCTGTTGTTAACAGGGTGTGCGGTTATCACGTAGGGTTTTCCTTGTCGACCATTTCCCGCAAATAGATGAGAACATCGAAGCATCAGTGCTATAAATGGTGTTATAAATAGCGTGTTTTGGAGGTTTTTGTTGAAACTTCTCCAAATCCCTCCAGGGATATGCACGTCGCAGAGAAGCCACACGGCAGGTCAAGGTCAAGTCATCTCAAGTACCAAAGGTGATTGGTTGAACTGTCGTAACTTACTCTGGAGGTTTGGCGCTAATGAACGCCGTTTTTGTTGTCGTCAATCAGGAAGTTGATGCCTTGACAGTACTGTCGTCTCCTTTACCACTAACGAACGAAGAATGGGCTACCAGGAAGATTCTGCTTCAAAAAGACGTCCCCGATGCTATAATCTCGGACATATGGTTATTCCTGCGCCGAGAATAATTGAACTTAAAACACACACTCTTGTTGAAAAAAAACAAAAAAAACAAAAAAAAAAAACAACAACATATTTTCTGTAGTAATTTTTCAAGTGTTGTAAAATGAAAACGAAATTCGATTCATGCCGCCAATTAATTTTAGAACACAAGCATATAAGTTATTTTTATTTGATTTATTCAAATAAACATTAATCACTTCAGCGCGCGCAAATATCGTTTTCAAATTAAAATTTCGTAAGATACAAATGTATGTTGATGAATTTCCGATGCTCGACTGTAAGTCATTCGTATATATATGCGGTTTTTTTTTGTTTTTGTTTTTTAAAGCTTCTTATTCTTTAATATTTTTATGTATCTCACAATCTGTATTGAAAATTTTATTACACATGGACTATCAAATTATGATTCGTTGCCCTAGAATTGAATAAACTTTCTAATTACACAATACGGGGTCATTCATTTGATTGAAGACTGATCTTTGCGTCTTTCTCTGAAATAATTATTTCCTTGTTAAAACATATTTGACCACATATTTCTGTCATTTAACTGTTCCCTTTACTTCCGATTTTTGTTGTACCGAAACACATGTTTCTATTTGTGATTTCTATTCGAATCCTTAATCAGTTTAATGGGATCACCACCGGGTAAACGACTACTAGGTACTTTTGTCATGTTTTTTTACCCCAAATATTTGAATGTTTCTATTGGGATTAAAATGAGCGTAGATAACTAAACAACTGGTTGTATAAATCCCTGACCTGTCTAATTCTAATTATGAGATTAGTGGATATATTAAGACATTCAATACAAAATATTCCTAAACAAAAGAGCACATGTTTAAATTTATTCCTTTACAAATAAAAGATCAGAGTAGGGATCTGTCAATTGCCAGACATATTTTTAAAAGATACTTTTATGTTAAAAGTTTGATTAATGAATTATGTAAGATGAAAATAGTAAGTATTGCTTTTTTATTTTGCTAATATTAAATGTAATCTTGTGGTGAAATTTTGTCGGATTTTGTAGTTAAATAGTTTTTTTTCGGCGATACATGGTTAAGAATATAATGTTTTCAAACTATATGTTCATCCCCATTAGTGAATTTTTAGTTAAATGTATGCAAAACATTTACTAACAGCTATATGATATAGCGGTTTATGAGCGTTTTCCGCGTACAGCCTCCTAAGGTGTACTAATAAGTTAGTTTTCCTTAGTTATCACGCAAGCATGATCCATGTATCTGATGTTAGCGACAGTTTACGATTATTTGTCTTTAAAAAATATTAAGGACTATTAATGGTTTATAACAACAAAAGAACATGCATGATATTGAGACTACGGTGTTGCTGTTCATAAACAGTTGGTCGCTGCGTAGTAATTGGAAAATTGTTATCAAAAATAATAAAGAATATTTGCCACCTAATTAAAACATTTACCTATAAATTTTCATTTATGCTTTTTGTTTAAAAAAGATTGATAAAGTTATTATATAAAAGGTTTTCGTACCAGAACTATTTATTACCAACGTACGTATGCCTAAACCTGATTACCGCGGCAGTATGACGTCACGGAGTAGTGATTTTGAAAAAAATAACCAAAACAAAATCAAGAATTTTTCAGAGAATTATTATCTTTACAAATTGCAGATATGAAATAAAAGAATGAAAATATTTTCATATGGTAAATGTCTGTGATGAGTGATGAGTCAGCTTAGAAAAAATCAAGGTACTATTTTTTGACCTGATTACCGCGGCAGTAAGATTTGACGGATGGTATTAACATTGGGTAGGCATAGCCTCCCCAAAAAAAGGTTCTGTATTAAGAAGCGTTTATTAACTATGGCATATTATTTACAGTACACGATACAAAGGCGTATCATATTGTCTGTGTCTTTACACAAAGTAAGGTCTCTTAAATACAATTAATAAATGAAAATATAATATGTAATTGTGAAAGAGATATAATTTCAGTTGATATTTTGATTAACATGTAGGAGGGTATTGACGTTATTACTTTCACAGAGTCAAACATTTGAGCAAAACGTAATGATTATGACATTTCGTCAATTTTCTGTAAAAATGTCTTATTCTATCAAATGTCAAATGTCTTTTTGCTGATTAATAAGCCAAAGGTAAGCGTAAATCAATTCAATTCAGACAGCTTTTGTAATACATTGACTCGAACCATATAAAGCCGCATCTGTAAAGTATATAATTATCCGCCCATATAAATTATGCACATCGAAGAGAAAGTATTTACAATGATAAGAAGACCGGATGTATAGTCTTAAGTTGTCGGGCACTCGTACACAAGAAGTATAGGAGATATAGAAAGAGGAAGGGGGGGGGGGGGTTAACGACGATGATGAGAAGAGCGGTATACACTCTCGCGGTGTCTTAAGGTCTGATGCGTATTTTGAAAAGGCGCTATACTCTACATATTATCTGCCAAAATTTGTATATTGATTTTAGCACAGTTTCTTGGCGAGTAATTTGCAATGTTTGCCATTTGTTCCTCATTTAAAACGCCTGAAGTTTGCTGTGTAAGCATATGGTGTGAAAAAAACCTTATTGTAGTTCAAACGGGGCCGATTGAATAGCGTTTGGGATTTTTACACGACATTTTATCCTTGTGTGAATTATTTCAAAACTATGTTAAGTTGTAAGTGAATATTACACAAATTGTAGTGATAATTCAGGCAAGAAAAAAACTGTCAGGAAAAAAACTGTGTGAAATCTTATAATTTATTTGGACTTCAGGTAAATAAAATATTATTAATTCTGTATTTTCGAAACGAATGTTGTTAATGTTGTTTGTCGTTAGACGTTTCTATCTAAATCATGTGTAGAAATATTCATAATTTAGTTGTTGTTTTCTTGTAAATTAACACGGTCATAAAATGTATCATGTATATTCACCTTGAAGAATATATCCATATTGATACTGCAGACATTCATTAAAGACTTCGTCTTCGTCATCTTTTGATGGAGGCAAGAACTGTTTTCCATTTACAAAAGCATTCATCCAGCCATTTTTTATATCACCAAACTCGAAGTTAATAATTCCGCCATTCTCATTTTTAGTCTGATAGACGTGTTCTGTATCGTTGCAACCTGTATAGGGGAAATCTCTAAAATTTCTTGCATATTCATAAAACGCAAAAGTTACTTCTAAACTATACACATATAATAATTGTTGATACTTATCATACAGTCTTTTCTTAAAGCATCTTTATGTTGACCCAAATACCAATCTTGGTCAAGCAACCAAGGACCACCGGCAAGGAGCCCAGTAGTACATTAAACAAAAACAAAAATAGGAGAGGACACAATAGAAATGCACGATCGAAGCGTTATTTTAAATATTTGATATTAGGTAAAAGAAACTGACAAATTTAATAATGAATATAATCTATGAGCATAAACAATAGAGACTATTAGAGGTTCTTTTTTAGCTATGATCCTGATCTTTATATCTTAGTGGACACGGTGCCAATCTAGCAGGTAAGCAGAAAACAAATTTAATTTACTTACCACTATTACTGTATATGCGATCTGAAAAGAAACAACTTCTGTCTAAGTTGTTTTCATTGTCGATTATATTTTCATCATTTCATATTAAATTTGAGTTGATGAATGTCTGCTCAGTAGAAATGTATGATGTTTGATCATTTTAATAAAATATTTGATTGATGAATACTCATTGCGTCAAATTAAGATCGACTGTTAAATTTTTCGCCTGTTGGTTTATACGTATTTCTCTTATTTACACCGTACACTCCACACAAAATTACCCTTCCACAGCTATTGATACAAGCTTGCGTCACGTGCGGCTGATTGGAAGAAAGGATACCGCAGAGCTATTCTCCAGTTGCCTTCCCCCCGTAATAATGTACAAGATTGTATCGATAAATTATTCAAAATTAAAACTGGCATTAGTGTTCAAACATATTCATTAACGCAATGCCATGGCTAATACGAAGCGATCCCTTAAACTAATGACAAGGCAAAGAGATACGCATTTGAGATGTATTTTTAAATTAAGATTTGACCTTCATTACCCTTTTTAGATTTTATATAACAATTTTCTACAATGATTACTTAAGTTTAGAGCTATCTTTAACTGCATTTATGTCATAAAAAATATAAATGTCTTCAAAGTATCTAATAACTTGTTGATTAGTATTCTATGTTGTTCTTACCAAAACAAATGTACAGGTCCCATCTATCTAAAACATTGAAACTTTGCTCAGGAAATCTGTAGAATAGATGACCATGACATTTTCTCATTTCAACAACAATATCATCTTCGCATTTACCATTTTGATTGAGACCGCATGCTGGCAATGTTACTATGTCATCACTTATAGTCGATATATCTGGATGTTTATCTATCAAATTAGGCAAACATGTTTAAGTTCAATTTCATTTCTTTTTCAAAAGTCTAAACCAATACCGTCAATGTTTTGAATAAATGATTGACTTCTCATTTAAGATGCATGTAAAAGGTTTTCAAAAGGTTTTTAAACGCAACATTCGAAATAATAAAAAGCAAGTGAACATCATATTTCATCTTATCTTTATATAATATGTTAAAGGGGCTCCAATGATATTTTTAACATGACAGGACTGGATACTGTAGTTTTGATCTTGTGATTTTATTATCAATTTTTAATATATACGAATAGATTATAGCATATCAAATTGTTCCCTCCGTTTCCCCAGAATATTTTTTTATTTTATAAAAGACCTAGTAATGTAAAGCGTTGAAACGATTTTAATTCAAATCTTGCAAAGATGTGCATCTTATATCGAGTTTTAATTCTGAGGACATTTTCGGTTTTTAATTAAACGTTTCATTTGCTAAACTGGTTGATGTAAGAATTTTTATTTTTTACGTATTCAGGTTTTTTGGACCTTAGTGGGGCTCCTGATATGTATAAATAGTAAATAGTGCAACTCCCCTTACAATTACTGTCACATATAATTTGTACTGGTTTATCAATAATACAGGGTCATTGCAAAATGTGTTTGCTGTAATGACAACGAGAAGAATGACTGAATTTGTATAACATATAATGTATCATAAACAAATACTTAATTTTAAGCATGTCACAAACCTTTGAGAGCAATCAAAGTTCCCCAGTCAAGTTGACACTCAGTTCCTACATTTTCTTTTGAAGGTATTTGTACATATCCTCCCCAGAATGTCATGTTATACCACCAATTGTCGTATAACGATATATACCAGTTATAGTAGTAAGATGAAGGGTTATAATATGCATACATATTGATCCCATTGCAATCGGTGCTATCTAAAAGAAGAAAGGACAATTTATATGTCAATTTGAAAAGAATTATCGAATTTGAAAAGTTTCAAAACTTATTAAGTTAGGATGTAAAGTTGGATTAAATTAATCGTACATTTTATAGCAAGACATACTTTAAAGTCTTTAAATAATCTGAATTCTGTTCACATTTTGAAGTGTAAGTTTACATTGAATATCTGTAAATGCAGTTTGAAAGAGTCTTGCCTTTAATGGCATTTAGAGAAGTTAACATGCGTACTAATGAAAACGAAACTTCTAACAACAACAACAACAGTTTCAAATATCTATGTATAAAATGTTTGTATAAACAGTAATAAAAATGATAAATAATAATAAGAATAAAAATAGATAATGATTTAAGCATTAACTGAACATAAACAATACAATAGAACAATATATAATACACATAAAGATGTTTTAACTCCTCCTCTGGTCATCATTTAAAATTCATCTTCATGGAAATTGAACTATTTACATATCTTTGCTATAATACAAGTTACCTTAATATGTAAAAAAATCCTAAATCAACTTTTTACTTTGTTTGTTTTGTTCAGATTTGGTATTTTACATTATGTAGAATATAACCCCCCTAAATGACTGCCACTTTTGGCAAGGTGTTAATGTTGTAAAAAGTCTGAAATTTGTAATTTTAATTCCTTATGCTGTTGTTATTATAATACATCTATATTTTAAAAAGTTATGCATGAATTTATAAAATGTGTGGAATACAATTGAAAGGGTGAAACGTTAAACAGTTAATAAGTTAAGAGAGTAATTATGCTGCACAGAAATTCTGATCTCTGTTTCTAAATCTCGTAAAGTATTAATCATGCAAAATGATAAAAATTAATCGTTAAGGTACTATTTACGATATTAAGACGCTGAATTATACAAGATTAGTCAACATTTCTATTGATGCTTCTTTATACTGCAGATTTTTTTTGTCTTTTTGTTTCAGGACACTGGTTTAATTAGACTTCACAAATCATATGCACAAGTTTAAATAAATAGGTAAAAAGAATAAATAAATCATTTAAAACCAGCACAATGCTGATCGGCTACCATATTCGAAATATCTTACTTTTAAAAAGAGATATTTAAAATCTAAAAACACAAACCTGCAACAGATAAGCCCATTTTTAATCCTATTAGAAAAAGACCTATCCAAACGATATGTGCATCCATTTCGATTGCCACCTATATTTTAAGTCAGCTACGGCAATATCAAAGTATGCAAGAAATACAAATGTTCTACTGTTACACAAGAGATTCGACTTGAACAGTACTATAGACTAGTTAGATTATTTGTCTTGATAACTTTTTCAATTGGAAACCATTGAAAAAAAATTATGTAGTTATATCAAATTAAAATAGCAAACCTTAACATGTCAAACTGTTCTGTTTCATCTTTTTTTGCAAAATGTAATTTGCCTCAAATAAAACAATTATGTAGTTGTATCAAATTGAAATAGCAAACCTTGACATGTTGAATTTGATATGTTTCATTTTTTTTGCAAATGGTTTTTGAAAAATAAATCTCAAATAAATTGTTATTATGTATTAGGTCATAGTCATCAATTAAGATTCTGAATTAGATCACATCGAAAAATTATTATTCACATGGTTCTTGTCAAATATTTGTTTCCATTAATGGTCAAGTTTTTACTAAAATTAATTTGCAGTGGCATAAAAAATCATGTTGAATTAAACATATGTATTTAATATGCTGAATTCAAGCGCATTTGCATAAATAAAATAAAATAAAAGGCAATGCATAAAAGAACATTGAAAATAAAAAGAAAAAACTTTAGATTACAGTTGGCTAATTATCATATGTCAAAAGGACCTGGTCAATCATTAAGACAGTGTGTCAACTTTGTTGTATTACATGTGTCCGAAGAAGTAATTTGATTTAATTTAAGTCAAAATTTGATGTACAGACATAATTATAGTCTATTAAATGTATAATGTTATCAAAATTAAATTAAGTGCATACAAGTATACAGAATGTAAAATCTTTATTACTTCACTATGAAAAAGACAGTGATTTAAACACATGTAATTTCATACATAAGGCTTAAAGCCCTAACCAAAGGAACATGTCCATGAGATTTCCGCATGGCTAGGTAATTTTCCAGCGATTTGCTTTTTCTGTATATAAATTTCGGAAAAAACATCAAATTTACGAACCTACCGTTCAAAAGCCATTTGACCAATTCCAATGCAAATTCGATTTTGTACAACTTGAGACGGTCTTCTTTGCACATGAAAAGGCCTATAGCCCTAACCCAAGTAATATGTCCAGGAGATTTCCGCGTGTCTTGGTCATTTTTTGCACCGGCGATTTGTTCTTTGTCTATGTAAATTTCGGGAAAAACATCATATTCACGAGCCTACCATTCAAAAATAATTTGATCAATTCCGTTGCAAATTTGATTTTGTACAACTTGAGAGGGTCTTCTTTGCACGTGATAAGGCTTAAAGCCCTAACCAAAGGAACATGTCCATGAGATTTCCGCATGGCTAGGTCATTTTCCAGCGATTTGCTTTTTCTGTACATGTATTTAAATTTCGGAAAAAAACCATCAAATTTACGAGCCTACCGTTCAAAAGCCATTTGACCAATTCCAATGCAAATTAAATTTTGTACAACTTGAGAGGGTCTTCTTTGCACATGAAAAGGCCTAAAGCCCTAACCCAAGTAATATGTCCAGGAGATTTCCGCGTGTCTTGGTCATTTTTTGCACCGGCGATTTGTTCTTTCTCTATGTAAGTTTCGGGAAAAACAACATATTCACGAGCCTACCATTCAAAACCCATTTGATCAATTCCGTTGCAAATTTGATTTTCTACAGTTTCAGTGGGTCTTCTTTGCACATGATAAGGCTCAAAGCCCTAAGCCAAGGAACATGTCCATGAGATTACCGCATGGCTTGGTCATTTTTCAGCGATTTGCTTGTACATTTACATTTTAACATTTTATTTTATTTGCACTAATAATGAGAATAAATACACGTAGTAGCCATATTTCTCTCTCTCTCTCTCTCTCTCTCTCTCTCTCTCTCTCTCTCTCTCTCTCTCTCTCCCTCTCTCTCTCTCTCTCTCTCTCTCTCTCTCTCTATATATATAATATATATATATATATATATATATATATATATATATATATATATATATATATATATATATATATATATATATATATATATAGTGTTGTCTTTTAGGGACTTTCGTTAATGACACTTAGAAATAAGATATTTGTTAAAATTTGAAGATCGATAAGTATCAATCATACATCACATTACAACATTATAGATAGATGTGAGTGACCAGAGCCCAGCACCGAGTCTTTTATAATTTAAAACTTTGAATAAGAGTAATTGCATAATGTTTTGTAAGTTGTCAATAAAAAAGACAAGCACATTAAAACATTCACATACATGTGCTTTACACTTCAAGTACAGCTGACCATTCCTCTGCAACCATTTTAAGCGTGCGAAAATCCTCGCTTTTGATTATTAAAAACAGCATTATCATTATTGCAAAACGTACAATTTTATCATTTTATAATTATAGTTTGACAATCAATTCATAAAAGCACCATGTGCATTTAAACATATTGCTCAGTACTGGTTGGTTCGAGAGTGCATCTATAAGATTGCAGCTGCCTACACAATCGCACTAATATAATGTTGGTTTAACTAAATTATCATCTAGCAAATAAAAAGAATGACCATCCAAATGCTCAAACATCAAATTGGCAAAAAATAAAAACAATTGTGCTCTTTACAATTTAGGCTATATAAGACTGACCTGGCGACTTATTCAATATTTACTTCTGACGGATATTTGCCCATGTATTATAGTATAATATTGTAAATTAATCTTACATTATGAGCAATCGACCAATTCCTTATAATAACAAGTGTCTGATAACGTTTCTATGTAAACTTGATAAGAAGCCTGGATTTTATTTTCAAAAGGCATATGTTTGGTTTGTGGGACAGGTTGATCAATCATAAAGGCATATAAACTCGTGGATTATTATAAAGACATTTAGTCTAACACAATATGTCATATAACACCTATTTTGATATCAAATGTTTGTAAGTAGCTTAAATGGTTAAAAGGTGATGTATAAAGTATCCAATAATGTCTCAAAAGGTTTTAATATACATCAACAATATTAATTTACAAAATTGCAAAATCTTTTGATAAATATCTTTGCAAAATAATGTATTGAAATTCTTGCTTTAGTTTATCATAAACATGATTAAACGTTTACATACCTCGTTTGCATTGAATAGTCCATGTAAACATGATACTCAATGCAAATATATCTATTAATTCGGACCATTAAGCAATACAGATGAATGATAAAACACAAATATTCACTACAACAATAATGCACAAGGGCACAATAATTACAGTCGTGTAATATATAGATTTTGGTAATTTTGCAAAGAATGTCTGTTTAAATCCGGAACCTTTTAAGGAAATCATACCAAATGTTTAATACAATTTAACGAAATCTTATATGAGGTAAGAAAGACTAATTTATTTCTAGCCACAGACATATTAACCTTAATTACCTCAACATCTATTCAAATTCATTTAAGTTATCTGAATACAGATCACTTATAATTGTGGTTGATAAATCAAGGTCGAAAAGAGAAAACAGTAGCTTAAATCTTAAAGTATCTTGTAGCATCATTAAGCTTGATCCCGGTGAATGACAGAAATCCATGAAAATGCGTCATAAGTATTTTTCCAAGACCCACAACAGACTCCAAACACAAGAGCACACTCAGTTGTCTCCAATGCTTTCAAATAAATATTAATAGAACATCTTGTTAGGTCAAGAAATACAAATACAAATTTTAAACACCAATGTTTTCCCTTTATATGTTTTTGTAAAAATAAACCATCCAAAACAAACATAGGTATTTTTAGTTTTAACGTTTCGGCATTTTCTAGTTGGGTGGTTCCAATATTCCTACTTGAATAATGTTGAATCACCCTTAGGATATGTTGCCTGGTTTGTAACTTTGTCTTTTGACGCCTTATCTGTGATATGCAGGCTTCATAACCTCTGATCCCCTTTCAAAATTCCATTTTATTTAGTTCCGCCCATTGTTTTCTCATTTAGGGCACACGCTTTCTATTCCTTGGGGACCATACGCCGCTTTTCATGGAATGGCACGGAAATGTCATGTTGAAGGTTCCATGATGACCGCATATCCGGTACAGATGATTCGTCTTCAACAGTAATACTTTCTTCACAATTTGGTTCACGTCGTCAGTGTGATAGCAACTGTTATAAATCGTCTGTTCAATATCAACAGTAGCAGAACCGCTCTTACTTAGTGTGATAGACTCGTTCTTAATTTTGAAAAAAAAAAAAAATTTTTTTTAGTTATTATCACGTTATACCATATACGCTGTACATTTAAATTTTAATTTTGTATGTCAGAAATTACAAACAAACGTATTGTTGTTGTTGATGTTGTTGTGGAAACATTAATGTTATGTCTTGCACAATGAGATAAGTTTAAGTCTTTTTGGCCTAAGATATTGGACTTACTTCTAATCCTGCATAGAAGGTATTACTTAATGTTTCAGGGGACTCATTTTCATCCACCGCGATCAAACCACATTGTACCTACAGGTCAAAAGAAATATAAAAAAAATATGAATTGTAGGGTGGTTAGTACAACCATTTAGAGTCATTTCAGCTAATAGTTTCTTGTTTAACAAATAGTAGAATTGAACATAATCAAGTATTTGAATGTGTGGCTAAGTGACTAAGGTCACTATCTCCGAATCACTAAGGTGCCCGATTGTTTCAAAAAGGACGCGCATAGATTATTATCATATTATCTTCACATCAGTGTCTTGATCAAACTAAAACCCCTATAAAATGTCGAAACATTTGACGTATAAAGCATTGAAATAAATGTCAAACTGATTGATAAAGCCATTTATAGGTACATTTTTTAAACGTATATGAATTTGAAACTCAAAATGTATAAAATGTATATAAAGTATTAAATGATTTACAGCTTTACATAATATCATATAATATTAGTGATTACATAACGTGTATTAAATCTTATTAGGCTAATCTGTTCATACATTAAGTAATGTACATGTTACCTCATACTCAGGTCCTAGATCTGATAAAAAATCTTCTTTAAATAGAAGTTCGTCTTGATTTGAAGAAGGTCCCATCTG